TAAATTTGCGATGGCTCCACATCTAAAACATTTTCTCGCATGAATATAAACATCTGTGCCAAGTTTCACGCTTTTATGCAAAAGTGCACAATTCATCGATATTTTGTCACATATCCGCTGGACTATAAGTAAGTGTAAGGCCTTTATTTGTGCATTAAGTATAACTTTGGGATAAGCAATTATAAGTGATAGGTATTTGTCTCACGCGTGCAGTGACATTGCGTTCGCACGTAGAATAAAAAATGCATAAGAATCCATCTCACACGTGCAGTGACATTGCGTTCGCACGTTTAATTTGCATAGAAACATAGATATAGAATAAAAAGACTAGATCGGCAGCGCGTCCACACGCGCGGACTTGCATGGAGGGTCACGTGCTGGAGGAAAGATACAAATGATGCGCGAAAACGTGACGAACGCAACGCCGTTTACGCGCACAGTGCACCATTATCACTAACGCGTGGGCGAATCGCGTAAATACTCGGTGCGTATTTCTTGCTTCGCTTGCGTTGAGCTTGGTCGCGGTGCTAGAGGAAAGATACATTTAGCTTCATTACTTTACGTTAATTTGTTGCGCGTCCACGAAACACAATAAAAAAAAAGCGGAGATTTATCGCACAATGAATGGGCGCGTGTGGACGCGCTGCCGATGTAGTCTTTTTTTTTCTATATCTATGCATAGAAATTCGAAAGACGCGTGCAGTGACATTGCGTTCGCACGTTTGTAAATAAAATGGGGCGTGGCTATAGGCTCCGTTAATCCGAAGCAGTTTAGATATAAAGTTTGAGACTGCAAGAAGCCACTGGCCGGCCAGGAATTATTTTCTGGCTGAGCGGATAATTTACTCCATTTCAACTTCATTTCAAGGCAGTAAAATGCTTTAATTTTTTGGGGAAGCTCTGGTAAAAGAAGAGAGTTTTGTCACCTGAAACAGAGAACTCCTTAAATTTCATTGGATGTTAAAAAAAATTTACATGGAAGATAAATTACAGCAGAATTAAGGTTGAACGAAAATGATTATTTTATTCAATAATAATGCAATGCCAATAGGAATTTGTCACGTGCATTGACATTGTGTTCCCACGTGTGTTAATTTGCATAGGAATTTGATACGTGCAGTGACATTGCGTTCGCACGTGGAACAGTTGAAGGGTAGCACTCCAGTGGAAGTTTTTTTTCAAATTGTTGTCCCTGAATAATTCAACTCGCTAATTTACACCAGTACTTTCAATGATAAACCTGTGACAGTGTCTCCTTCATTGTCACATTGACTTGCAGGTCTTGTGTAACTCCCTTTCTGGAGAAGGTTAAAAGACGTTCTCCACCTCAGTCTCAGAAACTAAAAAATAAATTGAAACAATATAAAACCTAATCAACATTCTGGGCAAAACGTTGGTGCAAGTTGTGCAAACAATTAATTAGGTTTTTTTTGTAGGTCAAGTTGGGAGGAGTGCAAACGCTGCAGGCGTGCATTATGCAGCATCCGCAAAGCAAAGCAGCTGCTGGATCTGTAGGAGTGTTAGGATAATGTTATAGGCATTTAGATTCGGCGAAATATTCTCATACGCGTTTAGAAACCTCCGCACCGCGTTCTATCGCTTTTCCGTTCGACAACAAGGCATATTAATACGTAATGTTCGGCAAACTCGTGTTTTTTTGTGTTTTTTTTTTGGTTTTTTTTGGCTAGACCGGAGACGGTTTGGTACGAAGACCGAGAAGGGACATGGGAGTTATTTTTTTTTTTAAATTTTCATAATATTACGTATGTGTTATTGTCACGTACGTACGTAACTCACGCACGTACTTGAATATTATCACGTACGTAGGTAATATTATCACGTAGGGCCCACGTGATAATTATTACGTACGTAGGGCCCACGTGATAATTATTAAGTACGTATACACAACGTATACTCGTTTAAGGATACACGTATTATCACTTACATATGCAATACATGTACGTACGTAATATGTACTTATTTATCAGGTATGTACGCAATAATAATACTAATATTACGTAAGTACGTAATATTATATTATCACACGTACGTATGTGATAATTTAAATGCATCACGTACGTACGTTGTGATTGTCATATGTATAGTAGTAGGCCCTAAATAAGAACAATATGTTCATCTCCTCTTGGTCTTCGTACCCACGTACCCGCGTATCCGCATATCCGCATATCCGCGTACCTGCGTAATCGCGCGATTTCGTGTACCATACTTCGAAGTGATAAAATCTAGGGAACTGTTTAGCAAAGTGTAATGAACAGTGTTAGGGAAAATGAAGCAAACGAAAATTAGGGAGCAAGCATAGCCCGCTGCGAGCATGCGCACATTGAGCCTGCAGGCAGTGCGATGGGGAGTTTTAGAAGTTTTCTATAAAAAAAAAAAAAAAATGAAAATAACACCGTTACTTAATGCAAACGAAAATCAGTCTAATGAATAACACTGTCCCCTAAACTTGAAAGTACTGGTGTATTTTATTTTATTTTCGCTATTTAAGAAACTTCCAAAATTAAAGTCGATTTTGTAATTGATTGAGAGTCATTTTGTGATGTTTTATGGCTGGTACTTTGCCAAACTCAAAACAATAATTAAACAAACTTAGTAAAACAACTACAGAAAGTGGCAATGCCTGGTGCGTTGTCCACCAACGACGATATAATTTCTTTATGATTGTATAAAATGTTTAAGAGCAAACAAGATTCATAAAATCTACGCCATCGGCAATTGACAGTGACCATGCCAGGTGCAGTGTCACTTGTAAGGGATACCCTCTTCGGTGCATATTAGTATAGCGCCGATTTCCAAGAGGCCCCTTCCTTCAGAAGAACTTGAACATTAAAACTTAGAACAAAAACACGGAAGGACGTCACTACTTAAATAGCCATACAGAGAAACTGTTGGTTAATAATTAACGCTAATTCCTAAATGAGCTCTCTGTTAAGGTGACATATACGCTCTTATAGTAACACTAAAAGGTAAAAAAAATCTGGGATTAACAGCGTCTGTAAAAGCACCGCATTGTCTATACTTCGCTAGTCTGTGAGCAGTGAGGGCACAGTTGACATATGACCATATTTTAATGATCGTAGTAAAATCAAAAGTCATAACTTTGGTTAATTATACTTTGCATAAATTTATATAAAAGACATTTTTATTCTGTGAAGATCTTTTAAGCTCGGTTCATTATTAAGTAACTATTTAAAGATAAACTTATCTGTGAGTAAAAAAATGCTTACAGAGAGAATGACTTTTGGGGGAAAAAACTCAAAAGTAGATGGTATTTTGTTTCATTGTAAATGTTGCATGTTTGATTTTTTGCCTTAGTGTGCATTGCTCTCTGTGTGGTGTGATTTTTATTAATGGTATCCGTCTGTTGTCTCTGACAATAGACAAAATTAGGCCTAAATGTTTTTAAATCAAATTAACCGTTGCGGCTACGAAAATGTCAAATCGTTAAGCAAAATCGAAGCAGATGTCGAAAGAAATAATACTTGAAATCAGTGTTATGTTTTTCTCAACTGCAATACGTCGGGCAAAAAAATGTTACGGTTTTGAAGCGGCAAGCCTCAAATTGACGAAAATACGAAATCAACTTTAAAAATCAACTTAAAAAATACCTACCCGGATATTTACTTGACTACGCGTATGACGAAAACTGAAAACAAAATTCAAATCGGTCCAAAATAAATTGTAGTGAAAATCACATCGTAAGCGAATTTTTTTCCGAAAAAAAATCACTCCGCTTTCTACGTGTAGGCCTACACGCTAGGAAAATGATGAAAATAACGCGAGGAAAACATCGCAGCGTTAGTGAGAGTAAAAATACCCGAAATCAGTATTATTTTTCTTGCCACAAAGTAAACAAAATGGGTTATGTAAATAACAAATCAAAATGACGAAAATAACGGCATAGAAATTAATCATCTGCAACGAGAGAAGTAAATACATGTACATGTACTTGCAAATTTTGGCAAACGGTGGGAAAATGACGGCAGCAAAAGAAAATGAAATTGACGAAATTACGAGAAAAAAAATCACACCATAATGAACAAAATATCTGTTTAGAAAATGACGGCATTTCAAAAACATCAAAATTGTTGGCATTGTCGAGAAGTGCCTTCAAAAAGACCTAATTGCCCCCCCCCCCCCCCCCCCCCCCCCCCCCCCACACACACACACACACCAAAAAAGTACAATGTGAAAGGTTACAACTTATTGGCAACCTGCCATTATCGGCGTCGGCACATGTTCGTGTGCATTATGACAAAAAAGATCCTGTCTGTTTTTAAAAGTAAATAGTGGAAACATGGGTAGAATCGTTTAGTTTTTATTTGGTAACAAGTGGCCTTATTACAGGTAGGCTTATAGACATAATGCTTTGGAATGTTTCACTTCAGTAACAAATGGGCTAGGCCCAGTGTTTTCGTAACCCTGTTCACTTAGGAAAGAGTTGCAGCTTTCATCAAAGAAACTAATGATCTAAAAGTTGAGACTGCATGGATGAGCTAGGCTGCTTTGTCTGGACGAAAATGAACCCTCCAAGGCTCCAACAGCCTCATCACACAGAAACTCGAGGAACCGGAAGCAGGGAGGAGGACCGACAGATGAACGGATGACCTGCTTGCTGGGCTACCCATTACTGATTCTTGAGGTTAGTTTACATGTTGGCATCCTCTTTGCAGGATCAATCAAGTCACAGAACTCATCAAAATGGGCGATCTGACTCTGTTATAATCTTCTTCCACAAAGAATGAGTTCTTGGTAGCGGGTTTTGCTTTGTGGGGTTAATTCAATGTTTTCTTTCCCCTTCCTAGCCCCGGCACGAATACAGCTCAATAATTCAAATGTTTTCTTTCGTATCCTTTCAGAAAAATGAGGACCACTGACTGATGAGGGAATTGCTTTACTGAGATTGATGAGCCTGCCTCAAGACATCGTCAAGGCTCCATCAGCCTTATCACACAGAAACTCGAGGAACCGGAAGCAGAGAGGAGGACCGACAGATGAACGGATGACCTGCTTGCTGGGCTTCCCATTACTGACTATCAGGTTTGTGTACATGTAGCCTACTTAAACAGAAACAATTAAGAACTAATCAAAATGGGCGATCTGGCGCTCTTCCATGTTCGTCCACAAACAACGAATTCTGTTAGCGGGCCTTTGCTTTGTGGGGTTATTCAATGTTGATTTTCCCCTTTCTAGCCCTGGCACGATTACAGCTCAATAAATCAAATGTTTTCTTTCCTATCCTTTCAGAAAAATGAGGACCACTGACTTATGAGGGAGTTGCTCTACTGAGGCTCCAACAGCCTCATCAAACAGAAACTCGAGGAACCGGAAGCAGGGAGGAGGACCGACAGATGAACGGATGACCTGCTTGTTGGGCTTCCCATTCCTGATTATTAGGTTAGTTTACATGTAGGCCTCCTCTTAACAGGAACAATCAAGTCACAGAACTAATTTAAATGGGCGATCTGACTCTGTTATTATGTTCGTCCACAAACGAGTTCTGGTAGCAGGGCTTTGCTTTGTGGGGTTAATTCAATGTTTTCTTTCCCCTTTCGAGCCATGGCACGAATACAGCTAAATAATTCAAATGTTTCCTTTCGTTATTTGAATCCTTTCAGCAAAGTGAGGACCACTGACTGATGAGGGAATTACTCTGCTGAGATGAGGATGAGCCTGCCTCAAGACATCGTCAGGGCTCCAACAGCCTCATCAAACAGAAACCCGAGGAACCGGAAGCAGGGAGGAGGACCGTCGGATGAACTGATGACCTGCTTGCTGGGCTTCCCATTACTGATTCTTGAGGTAAGTTTACATGTTGGCATCCTCCTCTTCGCAGGATCAATCAAGTCACAGAACTCATCAAAATGGGCGATCTGACTCTGTTATAATCTTCTTCCACAAAGAACGAGTTCTTGGAAGCGGGCTTTGCTTTGTGGGGTTAATTCAATGTTTTCTTTCCCCTTCCTAGCCCTGGCACGAATACAGCTCAATAATTCAAATGTTTTCTTTCGTATCCTTTCAGAAAAATGAGGACCACTAACTGATGAGGGAATTGCTTTACTGAGATTGATGAGCCTGCCTCAAGACATCGTCAGGGCTCCAACAGCCTCATCAAACAGAAACTCGAGGAACCGGAAGCAGGGAGGAGGACCGACAGATGAACGGATGACCTGCTTGTTGGGCTTCCCATTCCTGATTATTAGGTTAGTGTACATGTAGGCCTCCTCTTAACAGGAACAATCAAGTCACAGAACTAATTTAAATGGGCGATCTGACTCTGTTATTATGTTCGTCCACAAACGAGTTCTGGTAGCAGGGCTTTGCTTTGTGGGGTTAATTCAATGTTTTCTTTCCCCTTTCGAGCCATGGCACGAATACAGCTAAATAATTTAAATGTTTCCTTTCGTTACTTGAATCCTTTCAGCAAAGTGAGGACCACTGACTGATGAGGGAATTACCCTACTGAGATGAGGATGAGCCTGCCTCAAGACATCGTCAGGGCTCCGACAGCCTCACCAAACAGAAACCCGAGGAACCGGAAGCAGGGAGGAGGACCGTCGGATGAACTGATGACCTGCTTGCTGGGCTTCCCATTACTGATTCGTGAGGTTAGTTTTCAGTTACATATACCTAAAGAATAAGCAGAAACAAGTAATCAAAATGGGTGATTTGGCGCTCTTCTATGTTCTCCCACAAATAAAGAGTGCTGGTAGTGGGGCACTGCTTTGTGGGGTTAATTCGAACATTTCTTCCCCTCCCCCCCCCCCCCTCTTGCTCTACCTTTCAGATATTTCTTAATAATAATTCGGATATTTTCCTTTGTCATTTTAATCTTTTTACAGACATGAGGACCACTGACTGGTGAGAGAATTGCCCTATGATGGATGAGCCTGCCTCAAGCTACCATAAGCTGGGAGGACCGACGGTTGACTGACACTGCGTGCTTGGTTGGCCATTACCGATTCTTGAGGTATGTTTACTTGAAAAGAGACCAGGGATATGTAGGCCTACTCTTAAATTTGTTATTCCTTTAATACTGTGTCACCTCTTACGATGCTTGATTTCCACTTTAAATATTAATTCTAAATTTTGCTAGTTTACTCTTTTTGTCATGTTTTAGAAGATGAGGACCGCCAAGCTTGGATGAGACTGGAAAATTACGAAGCTGCTCTATCTGGACAAGGATGCCCTCATCAGACACTTTCCAATTTGCGGAATATTGGATCAAACAGCAGACTGCATATTATTTTGCAATATTATTAAACATAAAAACGACGAAAATACGAATTCTTACGCCAAAGTTACCGCTGCAATTGGAAGAATTAATAGCTTAAATCACTGTTACTTGTTAACTTTACTGAGATACCTTTACCTGAAATATTTGACAACGAATATGACGAAAATTGAAGGAAAAAAGTCAAATGTGTGTAAAATACATTGCAGTGAAAATCAAATCATGAGCGGATTTTCTTCTCACAGAAATGCTTCTCCGCTTCCAACAAGTGGCTGAGAAATTATGAAATTTACGCCGAAAATAACTGAAATCAGTGTTGTTTTTACCTTTACTGCGATACCTACTTGATATATTTGACTAAACGCGTGTGACGAAACGTGGAAACAAAAATCAAATCGGTCAAATTAAATTACAACGAAAATCACATAGTACGTGGAGTTTCTTCTCGAAGCACGGCACTCTGTTTCCACAGGTAGCTACGGGAAAATTACGAAAATTACACCGAAAATCAACGCGGCATATAAGTGAAGTGACGAAACATAGTTTACACGGCTAAAAAATCACAGCGTTAGTGAGAGAAATAATACTTGATATCAGTGTTATTTTTCTTACCTACAAAGTAAAAACAATTCGATTGCGGAAGAACCAAATTAAAGAGACGAAAATTACGGTAAAAAGATTAAACTTGTAGGCCCTAAGCCCGAAATGAAAATGACCGAAATAATGTTAACAAAACAATTTCAAATTATAATCGGCAGCCACTTCCGGTACGGTACTACACTGCTTAAAAAAGTCGGAAAGCGAATTTTGGTAAACGGTGGGGAAAATGACGGCAGAAAAAAAGTTTTAAAAATGACGGAAATTAAGGAAAAGTCCCATTATATCGATGTAAAGAAAATGACTGAATTTAAATTAAAGCAGCATGTTAAAGGCATTCCCCAAGTTCTAGGCCTACACCACATCTTTTAAGTATTATTTGTCAGCGAAAAAAACTGCAATTTGTGACATTGTCAAGAAGTTTGCCTTCAAAAAGGCCAGAAATAGCCAGGTTATGCATGTGAAAGGGTACAACTTAAGTGTAATCAACAAAGCGATAGGGAAAATGGCTGTGTAAGACATGCGACATATTTACTATCGCATGCGACATTTCTTCGTGTTTTTGTAAAGGTTTAAACTTAATCTACATCATTTATGTGAGTCCGATTTGGAAAGATCGGCAGGGATACATGTTTTCATCAAGGATATATTTCTCCATTGAGTTACTCATTTGGTTGTCTTACTTTGACCTTTGATAACGTATAAGGTCGACAGTGCTGTTTTATTGAAGGGGAGAACACGAAAACCATAACGGAAAAAAGCGTTGCAGTAGTTAAAGAGATCGGTCTAATATAGACTTTCACGATCAAATCTTTGTGGGCTACGAGTATACCGTATACTTGACGTAAATTTCAAAAGAAAGCATTTCAAGATATGCGACAGGTTTAGAGTAACATAGAAAACTACTATTTCCTTGTTGATTTTAGCCTACGTGTAACCCTCCCTCCGTATAGTACTATGTTCAATGTAAGTCCGATTTGGAAGGGATCGGCAAGGATTAAGATGGCATTTGTCATTTTAATGTCACGTGAATTTCTTTTAATGGTTGTTTATAGTGTGCGAGTTTATATGCAGTTTCCAAAGCAACCTGCCATTATCAGCGTCGGCACTTATGAATAAAGTAATCGTGTCTGCTTTTAAAAGGAAATAATGGAAACATGGGTAGAATCGTTTGGTTTCCATTGGGTCCTACCCATGACCTGGTTATAGGTAGGCTTAGACATAATTATTGGCTACATTTGCAATGTTTCACTTCGGTAACAAATGGGCTAGGCCCAGTGTTTTCGTACCCCTGTCCACTTCGGAAAGAGTTGCAGCTTTCATCAAAGAAACTGATGATCTAAAAGTTGAGACTGCATGGATGAGCTAGGCTGCTTTGTCTGGACGAAAATGAACCCTCCAAGGCTCCAACAGCCTCATCACACAGAAACTCAAGGAACCGGAAGCAGGAAGGAGGACCGACAGATCAACGGATGATCTACTTGCTGGGCTCCCAATTACTGATTCTTGAAGTTAGTTTACATGTAGGCTTCCTCTTAGTCACATAACTCAAAATTGGTGATTGGCACTTTTCTGTGTTCTTCCACAACGAGTGCTGGTATAGCGTTGTGTTGCTTTGTGGGGTAAAAATCGAAGTTTTCTTTCTCCTTGCACATATTTGTTAATAATATTTCAGATATTTTTTTCGTCATTTGAATCCTTGTAGAGAAATGAGGACCACTGACTGATGAGGGCATTGTCTTACTGAGATGAGGATGAGCCTGCCTCAAGCCATCGTAAGCTAGGAGGACCGACGATGGACTGGCCATTTCTGATTCTTGAGGTGAGTTTACTTTGAAAACGAAAAAAGACCAGGGTATGAGGATTTTAATTTGTTATTCCTCTGATTGTAGTTTGTCCCTCCTACAAAATCCACAGTGCTTGATTTCCTAATATATGTATATTTTTAATTTGCTTGCTTATTTTGTCATTGTTTAGGACATGAGGACCACCAAGCTTGGACGAGACTGGACAATGACAAAGCTGCTGGACAAGGATGCCCTCATCGGAAACTTGAGTTTAAAAAACTAGCTTGCACAATATGAAATGATAAATCGACTGCATAATGCAACGTCATTAATGTTATACACTAAGGCAACAACACTAAAATGAAATGAAAAGTAATTTTGATTTCATTGAATTATTTATGCCTCTAAAATAATCTTAAACCGGATACTGCAACAGACAGTTAACAATGGACAATAATGGAAACTTGCTGAAAAATTATTGTAAGGGTAATGATTTGTCACTGGCTTTTTAGCAGTGACACGTCTGGGAGAAGGTACGTTCCTTTGATCTGTCCTGGGTCATCCAAAATTATTGCATCAATAAGTTAACAATTTCATACTCCTTACCTTTAATGCATTCAATTGGATCTTCTCGGTAAATTATAAACGAGGTCTCGCCTAAGGCTTTCTATCTGCTTTTTGGCGAGCTGCGAAGCAGATGCGAGCCTATGTAATACCAATTTCCGTCCGTCTGTCCGGGCGCCCGTCCGTCCGTCCGTCCGTCCGTCCGTCCGTCCGGCCGTCCGCGTTCAGATAAAAATGTTGAAGTTTTTGGTTCTAGTTAACTTGGGGAAAAAATTAAATGCAGTTGTCAGGTATCATCTCTAGGCCTATAACTTCAGTTAGGTTCATATCATTGCAGTAAATTTTATGATTTTATTGAGGAACTTTAATTCAAGGAAATGTTAAAGTTTTTAATTGTTACATGTACACGTATACTGGTATAACATGTACATGTGTGTATACCGGTATAACATGTACATGTACACTATGCATTTTGGGGATGTGCATGAGCTTCTGGTTTGATCTTTTAGTTTATGGGGTTGGAGTAGGGATGGGGTAGGGGAGGGTGGGGTGGGGTGGGGTGGGGGATAGGGTTGGAGTTAGGGTTTGAGTGAGTAGGATGAGTAGGGGAGCTAGGATGGGCGGGGCGGGTTGGGGTGGGGAGAGGAGAGGAGAGGGTTGGAATACTGGGTTTGGGTGGGGTGGGGATTTGTAGGGGTGGGGTGGGAACAGGTAGGGAGAGGATGGGCATGGATGTAGGGGTTGGGTTAGGAGGGGGTTGGGCAGGGGGCGGGATATAGGATCGGAGTAGGGGTTGGATTGGGGATGTGTAGGGATGGGTTGTAGGGGTTGGATAAAGGGAGGGGGCAGTATATAGGGATCAGAGTAGGGGTTGCATGGGGTCAGGTGGGGATGTATGGGTGGGGGAATGGGGTGGGCGGGATATTGGAATCGAGTAAGGGTTAGGGTGGGGATGTGTAGAAGTGGGTAAGGACAGATAGGGGAAGATAGGGTAGGTGGGTGTAGGGGGTTGGGGAGGGTACGGGTCAGGGGAGGGGGAAGGAGATAGGGATTGGAGTTTGGGTGGGGTTTGGATGTGTAGGTGATAGGGTGGGGATGATTAGGGGAGGATGGAATGGGTGTGGGTAGGGGGTTGGGTGGGGGAGGGGGGGGTGGGGATGGGGTAAGGTTTTGGGATGGGGTAAGGTTTGGGGGAGGTGGTGATGGTGCTGTGTCTACATGTACATGTATACCCATTCTTGTTCTGCATTTGTGGCGACTACACAAGAGTTTTCCCATGGTAATACAAGTATGGGGAGCAGAAGACACTGTTGGGGATGCAAAAATCCACAACTGGGTCCTAATTACTCTAACAATGGAAAACTCCCCCATAATACAGTGACGGCTAACCTATATTCACATGTATTTATTAGGTAATCTGTTGACTTTTTATGTTGACATTTAAAAACTGACCCCTACACCTTGGCACATCAACAAGAATCCTGATCCCCTTCCATCATGCCCATCCTCAACCCTACCCTTCAGCCTCCCTTCCTGCCTTGGACAGCGAGCCATGGCGGCTTCGCCGTTCTAGTTGTTCAGTTGACAACGGAGAATTTTGCTCTATAAATTTAATTTGATATTGAAAGTGCATTTTTAAGAAAACCAATTTAAGTCATAAGAGTTTTGAAAGATTTCAAAACGGATTAATTTATTGTTTAAAAACTGAAGAAATGTAACAAACTTTATTTAAATTTAACGTCTTTAACAAGACGTCGGTTTAGCTAAAACGTGACTTTCTTTCCATTGTATATTTATTAGAAAACACAAGAACGTTTAATTTTTAGGAAAATTTAAAGAAACTGTTCAGGAACTTCTATCAAAATGCATTGCAACAGGTATGAGTGACACTCGAATTACATTTGTGTTTGTCCTTTTGTGATTCATTTCATTGCACTTTTTTTTACTTGTTATATTTTTTACTTCGTATGCACAATTGTTTTTCTTTGTGGTTTTGCATGTCTTCATTTTCTTTATAATAATTAACTAACCTCACAAAAGGATAAACGCAATATATATCGACTGTTGAACTTGCCTCGCATTAAATATTTTTTTTCACATAATAGCTTAATTAGACAAAATATAGTCCTGAAATGTTTCAAAATAATATAGGAATTTTTTTTGAAGGGGGGGCATTCCCAAGTTTTATCTTCCCTTTTTAAAATCTTATTCACAAAATGGCGAAATACAAAAACCTGGCTTTACCGTGTACAGTCATGTAGTCGTTGCTTATGTAATGATCATCTATGATATTACAAAGTGATTATTAATTCCTCAAATTATTGGCCTTCTGCCCAACTTTTTCCCTCATTTGCAATCTTTTGTATTTGTTTGTATGAATTGGTTTAAATATTTGTATGTCAATAAGACTAAGGAATGAAACAAAATAAATAAATCTTGAAAGATGTGAGACACTTGATATCCTTGGAAGGTTGTCAGTATTTTACCTATTTTTGTTTTAGTTGTTGGCGGGGGAGGTCAAGCTACTACAAAAGTAACACAACCCAGCTGAAATGACGTTTTATTATTTATGGGTGATGGGGGCGGGGTGCGCACATAAAGGCACGTCAGGGAATATAAAATAATTAGGTGTTTTTGTAAGGGAAATCTTTACTCTTAAACGGAAATAAAAAAAATCTCCTAGGCTCCTAGGTTCTACCTTTTAGAATTGTCCAATAAAAAGACCCGAATTTGCATACGCCGGCCAAATCACAATTTGCATGCCCCCATGGGCTTTTAAAAAGATCTTTTGCAAATGGGAAAGACACTTTGGAAACATCCAATCAGTTTGAATATGCTTCATGAATTTCTGAATAAACGAGCACATTTTTAAACAGTATTTAATTACTATTATTTTTCGATGTGGTGGTGGTGGGGGGGGGGGGCTAAACAGAAGATATATCAGAAGTGGCGCAATAAAACCGACAGCGGGCGCAATAAGTTTGATTACTTTTTCAAAAATTTCTACGCGAGTCATGGGCGTCGCCAGGATTTTTTCTAGAGAGGGCAAAATTTTTTTTGCCAAAAAATGCTTGTATTTCTAAACACATTCTCGATTTATCAGTTTCAAAGGGGGGCAGGGACATTTTGCCCCCCCCCCCCCCCCCAACTCATTAAATTTACACCACTTTGTCTTCGCGCCTCTTTTTCTTTTCTTTTTTTTCTTTTTTTTTCCTTCCTTTTTTTTTTTTTTTTGGTGCTTTTCCGGGGGGGGGGCAAGTGCCCCCCCCCTTGCCCCCCCCCTCGCGACGCCCATGACGCGAGTCGTTAATTTGCATAACCAGTGCCCCCCCCCCCCCCCACACACACATTTTTTTTGTAAAAAACGAGACCGTCTAGTTTAAAAACCGGTGGAATCGTGCGAATTTAGCCGAGGATCATCTCCCTAGCTTTTGAGCTATTATCTAAGAGCAGATTTGATAAAATTAGGGTCCAAAAATGGGTCCTATTTTCACGAGAAAATGTAGGGATGCCCTTGGTAACTTTGGCAGTAGGGCTCAGCATTACCGGCAGGCTTCAACCCCATTACGGACACACTCTCGCAAAATGTGGTTCGGCAGCTTTCGATACAAAAAACTCGTTGGCTCGGGGTTTTGTGCGTAAACCTTATCAGTCAGCCGATCACGCTATATATTGACTTCGGTCAACTATAGTTGGGACCGATGCGATAGTTGGGGCGTAACATTTTCCTAAGTTCACAAAATGATATTTATTCATAATTTAAAGGGAATGTACATCATTGGCTTTTGCTGTAATTTTAAATTATGACTATTTGAGGGGTTAGTATAATAGATTAAATATTGTTACACTGACATGTTTGAAGTTTTGTGTTCGAAAATGCTGGAAAAACCAAGAAAAACAAAAATGTTCAAGTAGTCTGGTTCCCTGACTCCGCTAAAGATGAAATGGATCAATATATGGATGCCGGAATATTGTAAGGTAAGGGAACCAGTCTAGCTGGCTTGCACCCGTTCATGAATTATATGTAACCAATAGCAAACAAATTTGGACTGAAATAAGTGGTACATTTGGAGCAATAGTTAAAAAAAGAGTTAGGTTTTTCCAACGGTGGTCGGCCGACCACTGTTGGAAATGTATACAAAAAATATAATTTTCTTGAAAATGACTTTACACCAGGTGCCATAATTTTACAGGCTACTTTAGACTGTCATTTACCACCATCCTAGTTATAGTTTTATTTTTTGATGTTTGCAAATGTTGCATATTCCCTTTAAAGGGAAAATACAACATTTGCAAACATCAAAAAATAAAACTACCAAATCATTTTGAAATACCTTGCTGGACTGTTAGTGAATGACAGTGTAAAGCATCCTGTAAAATCATGGCACCTGGTATACTGTCATTTTCAAGAAAAGTGGTATTTTTGTATCAATTTCCAACGCTGATCTGCCGACCAGCGTTGGAAAAAACTGGCTTTTTTTCAAATACTGGCCCCAGTTGACCATCGCACTTGTTTGCAATAGATTACCACCTATGAACGGGTACAAGCCAGCTAGACTGGTTCCCTGACCTTACAATTCCCCAATGTATGTAAACTGCTTTGTTTCTTCTTAAATGGAGTCAGGGAACCAGACTACAGGAAAAGGATTGTTTTTCTTGGTTTTTATAGCATTTTCGAACCCAAAACCTCAAAAAAGTCAGTGTAACTATATTTGCTATATATTTCCAACCCCCAATTCCATCCATTTCTGAAAATTACAGCAAAAGCAAATGATGTATATTCCCTTTAAAAAGATTGAATACAGCACACACTTAATCTGAATTTCTTACTCTTTTATAAACCAACGGCCAACTTTAATATATAAGAAGACATTTTTAGCACTTAATTTTTTTTTAAATTATGTACATGTTGAAATCTTGTATTTTGAGTGCAAATTTTAGACTTATTAACGGATTTGAAGCCAACATGCGCACTTTTCATTTACTTTATTCGTATAGGCGCTCTAGTTAGACTTTCTTCTAGTCGTACTGATCATAATATCCACAGACCCATAAAGACCCTGATACTCTCTCCCTATAAAGATGATTTTTATAGTAAATTAAACAACAAAGTAGAATATTTCTGAACAAAATTAATAAAAACAATTTTTTTTCAAACCGACTTTGTACTTTTATGTGGAAAATAAAGTGAAGTGAAGTGAAGTGAAGCGAAGTTAAGTGATAACGACTGGACAAGTTATTTCAATAGAGTGATAGTCTCATTCAGGTCGTGTGTATGTCGTGCATGTTTTGGGAGCTTAGTCACGCGCACACGCACAAGCGCACACACAGGTGATACGACTGTAGTGGAGACTAGTCGGGTAACGGCAGCACTGCGAGTCAACAGAGTCATAAACGACTGCCGATCGGATCAGTGTCTGGTAAATATTAATTTGTTTGTCGAAATAAAAAGAACCTGATGGTTATCGATACCCTTTTGTTGTTCATTGTTCTATCACAAGTACTATCTAATTATCCAATGTAAAGGACTATTCCAATGCTTTTATTTTGCCGGGTAGTGAGGTGGCGAAATTAGAGACCGTTGTAAAGGCAGTAGTCCAGACTATTTGCGTCCACTCTTGTATAAACAGTCTGGCTTCCGTCTTCGTGCTACCATGGAGGTACCCTGGTGGTTATGAACACAGTTCAAAAGTCGTGTGTATAATGCAGGGGAGGGGGATTGGAGGGGGCAAGGGCGGATCACGGGGGGGGGGGGGGGACCATGGTCCCCTCCCCCTAACGAACCCAATTGTTTTTTTGGTTTTTTTAAGTGACCTCACAATAAAGGCAGGCACTGCGCACACCACCATCTTTGCCTCCAAAAAATTGGTTGAATTTAAAAGTTAAAACTTAAGCCTTATGCATGGTCAGAAAATTGCCTCAGATCGCACCACAGACTGACAGAGCGAGCATCTTGAATCCAAACATTTTTCGGGGACCCTAAGCGGGCCACGAACCCCACGCCGTAATTTTTGTGACCCACTTTTTCGGGAACACATTTTTTTGGGCCCCCCCCCCCAAAAAAATGTGTTCTGGATCCGCCCTTGGGAGGGGGCTGTCTTAAATATTAGGGCTATGTAATCATGCATGTCATGCATGTGTATTGAGTCACCTTTTCTTTGATCACAGCTTTCAACGTTTGGATGTCATTTTGAGATCTAGTTAAAACTTTAGCCTAGGCGGCGGGCCGCTAAGCTTAAACAAACGAAAATTCCAATAATTCTATCTCCATGATCACTGATCATGATTGGACTTTCCCAAGTAGGGTTTTTTTGCCGATGTTTGAAACCATGGAGGAAGGAAAACCAACAGGAATGTTATGGATAGTTTAGTAGGCAGGGTTTTGGATTTTAGGGAAATTTTGGGGTAAAATGACGATACAAATGACAAAACCCTCCCTTCGCCGAATCACAAAACAAACTACTAATTTGAATTTCCAACGGTGCTTCTTAAGAAGCACCATTGGAAAGGCCTTCTTTCGTTGATTTCTTCAAAATGACAGCTTGCCAGTAAGAATAATTTCACAGGGAGTTTAGTCCCCTTACTATCTTTCAGCCAAGTATGTGTTTCAACAATAAATACGCCAGTTACTTTTTGGATAGCTGCAAATGATGGACTCTGGCTCTAAAAGAAGACTGCTTCAGGTTGCAGAAGTCATTTTCGAATGATACAAACACTTATTAGTTATAGGACCAGAAAGAAATAGAAGCCTGTATAAAAACTACACAGTCGGCAAAAAAAAGAAGTGAGAGTTATATTTTCATATTGTGAATCATTGTGATTGAGACAGGCATTTGAATTGAAATGCATTTGAATATTTCTGGGTCTCACAGTTGAAAAGAAAGCTTCAAATGTTAGCTAAGTGCATTTAGTTTTCAGCCATTAACTTCGCTGTACTAGCTTTCTGTATCCCAGGTTTCGTTACCCGTGGAGCTACACATGGTTACACATGTAATTCTGTATACATGTTTGTTTACTGGTCAGGCTTTGACCTCGGCCTAATGTTACATGACCTGACACACTACAGCTTGTCAATATCTTTTCAGCGTTTGTAACCTAGTCTGAGCGTGCCTGAGTAAATTTGACCCATCCACCATTTTCTTCTTCTAAATTCTGCTCGTGAACCTACGATGTACATTCTGTACCAGGCCAAACTGTTTGATCCTGAACTCGTTTCAACCATCAGAACCAAGGACTAATAATACTGTGTGTGTCATTTAGGATGTTCAGTGAACCACTACACAGGCCACTAAACCTTAACTGTGCACGCTGAAATAGGAGCCGCCAGCAGAACACAACCTGAAAACTATCTACAACAGGGGTCATTCAATAAATTTGGGGCCAAATTTTTTTTTGCGTCCATGTTTTTTACATTTGATATAAGATTTTGTAAAGTCAGGACATGTTCTTTAGTGCCTTCTGTCTCAAAGAGTAATTATGCAAAGCAAAGTACCTACCAAACAAAATTTTAAAAATACTTTGAAGTTAATTTGAATGCTACTGGTACTTGCATGGCAAATTACACAAAACCTAAATCTGTTTTCCAGAGAGGGGGAACAAAGCGTTCACGCTTCCTGCATGCTGTGGGCCTCTTTTGTTCACAGGTCCACAAAGATAGTAACCGTCATGTTAGAGCACACTTTTGGACCAGAAGTTTATGGAATGACTGACGTGTATAATCACATGGGATTTTAACTGGTATCTGATTTTGCTAAGAGGCAAAAGTCTCTGTGCAAAATATGTGAACTACTTGTATCTTTGCTGAACTGCTTAAATTGGGCTCTGTACTGTGCCTTGATGATGTTAACAGCTGTAATAAATGTGACAATTGTCGTGAAAGAGCAAATAGAAATTTCAAATTTTGACCATAATTCACAAAGTTAAGTCTGAGGCGGAGTTATCAACTCTACTTAGTCCATCTTGTTCATGAAAAAAAGGACAAATATTTTTAAGCTTGAGTCTGGCATTTTTGACATGTGATAATTTGGAAATTTATTGAGTTGTCTTTTTTTTTCATGCATTTTTCTCCACCTGTGTTTGTGTAATTTCAGACACCAACATGGAAAAAGATGTCAGTCAATTGACAGTCGTGTCTGCTTGAAGTACCATCCTGATTCAACCCAGCTACCTCTACCTCATTTCCTTTGGAAGGGAAAAAAGCTACAGAAATATCACAATGAGCAAAGGCAAGATGGACAAAAGCCTATCAACTCCAGGGTAGGTATAAACCTGAACTCCTTCTATGTACAATGGGGCACTGCATTGCTTTTCCTTGTAAAACTCGGAGCGCCCGCAACAACTGTGCTTGAAATCTGGAAATCTTATTTGCATATTCCAGGAAGCAGTTGGATATGTCCTGGTTGTGAATACATTTTGCTCTGCTGTCACAGACTGTTCAACCTGAATTAACCCTAACTCCCTAGGAATCTTTGCTAGGATGTAACCTCAATCCTGCAAAGTCCTCCAACTGCCTCCATAAAAAATAGCATACAGCCTCAATCCTGCAAAATCCTCCATTATTTCTTGAATGTTGTCCTTGGAGGGGTGACCACTGCCTCAGTCCTGCAAAATCCCCCAGCAATCATTGTCAATATGTTGAGGCAGAGCCAGTGACATCCTGGAGCAGTGCGGAGGATTTCAGGTATAATATAGGCTTAAATTTATGTGTGACTGAGCATAAACAACACAAGGCCCGGCCTAAGACCTTGACACAGTGCATCCTCCAAAATCAGCCACACACTTTTGCCCTGTAGCCTCAATCCTGCAAAATCCTCCATTTTGCAAAGAGGATTTTGGAGGATTTGGGAAGGTTTTATTGTAAACCCTCACCGGCTTCAATTCCCGCTTTGAAGGATTGTGAATCATTACTTCACAACAGTGTTGAATCCAAGCAAAAAGTTCTGGGGGTCAGGAGAGTACAGAAGAAATTGTGGCAAAGTTCTTGCTCAAGGACGTACAAATCTCATTTGGAGGATGTAAACAGCTGTGACAGACCATAATTTGAAATAGTAATGGCGGAAAAAGAAGGAATTCAATTTTGATGAATCCCGCTACTCTTGCTCATTATTGCAAGAGATGTTGAGTAATCGTTTTCATCTGTATTATTAACCCTAACCCACAATCCTAGGAAATCCTCCAGGGGGTTTTGGTGGATTTTTTGGAGGATTGAGGCTGAATGGAAAATTTTTATTTTTAAGTTTGGAGTACGCATTGTGTCGAGTTCGTAGGCTGTATCCTGCATTGTTTATGTTCAGCCATGCATAATTTAGCCCTGCATTATGCTTGATATCATCCGCACTGCTTCTGAATGTCATCGGCACTGCCTCAACCCATTACAGTAATTGTTGGAGGCTTTTGAAGGATTGAGGCAATGGTCACACCTCCACTGAACAAATTAAAAAAATAACGGATGATTTTGGAGGATTGAGGCTTAATCAAATTTTCACATGGTGGCAATTTGAAGATTTTGCAGGATTGAGGATGGTTCCTAGCCAAAAGGGCTAATAAAAAAAAAGATTATTTGCTGGCAAAGTGTTGAAAGAAAAGAGAGAAAAAATTGAGCAAGTAGTTGCAAGGACTTCAAAATCCATCACCAATATTATTTAGTAATTTTAGCATATTTGTTTGTCTCTGTTTTCAGATCACGTATTGGGACCTTGCTGTATTCCCTGGAGAAGCTCAACAGCTCCAGCTCCGATGATATCGAGCAGATGCGCTACACAACAGCCAAGATATTAAATTGCACTAAAGATCAAGGTACGGGCACAGTTTGAACATCAGCTGGGGTAACGAGAGCTGGGCATTACGGCTTCAGGACACACAGTAACATGTTGGTATAGACGGGCACAGTTGGTAAAGAGATCTTGGATGTTTCACACGCAAAATGTCTGCCGTTTTTCGAAACAGTGTTGGCAAAAGTGAGAAGTATTGTACTTTTGTGCTGCAGTGCTTCAAAATAGCAAACAAAGTTCAAACCTACCGGTAGACAAATGGCTACAATGAAATCAAGTATTGTATATTTCAAGTTTTTAACAGTAAGAAGTGCATTGTTTGCTTTTGCTTCCAGAACCAGTGCGGAAACAAATCATGTCAAAAACAACAAATGGCTTGGAGATACTGTTTTCTACGCTAGAGGTGAGCCCATGTTTCCATGATGCCCATGGATACAAACCCCCCAACAATGTCTTCTGGTACTGGCTAGTTACCAATGCTAGAATCTTGTGACGCAAGCACAGAAAAAAAGGGGGTCAACTATTTTGATGATGTCACACTGTTGTTAAAAGCTTTGATTAGTTTTAGTAGTACTTTCAAAAATTGAATTTGATGCTTGTCAACAAAGAGGCTTTGCAGTAATGGGGAGCCCATGATACACACTTAATTTGCATTCATAAATATTCATATTAGTTGTTCCCCCATTATCGGTCATCATGACAAATGAGGCAAGTGCCATTCAGGTTCTGTTTGGATTAGTACATATATACCAGTCATGTTATTTATTGACAGAGTAAAATCTGTTGGTTTCTTACATTGTATGGATGTCCTGAGGCTTAAAGGTAGAGTCTATCATTTGCAGCTATCTAAGAAGTAACTGACTAAATAATTGTTGAAAGCACACTTGGTTTAAAGATAGTAATGGCACTAAACTCCCTGTGAAATGATTCCTTCTGGCATGCTGTCATTTTGAAGACAACAAAAAAGAAGGTCACTTCCAAAGATGCGTCTAAAGATGCATTTTTGGAAATTTCCGTTAGTAGTTCATTTTTAATTTGGCAAAGCCGTGAATGGGTGCGCACAAGCGTTGACACAACGCACGCACACGCTCGGTTGCTGTAATTCGTCGGTTTCGGTGCGTGGCATTGCGTTAGCTCCAATTGGCTGAATGAGAACGTGTCCCGGACACTGATTTCAGACGCAATTCAAAACATGACTCGGTAACTTTTGAATTGAAATTGAGATCCTTAAATATTTTCTCGGAATATACAGCATTCACCGAGCTAAAAGTTAATCAGGTTAGTTGTTAAGCACCTGTCTTTAGATTTTGAACGCTTTTGTTCCTTCACACGTAAAAAATGCACAAATGACAAATGATGTACTCTTCCTTTAACCCTAACCTCCCCAACTCCATCAAAATCCATCCCGCATTTTGGTGTTTTTTGGGGGACTTGGTCCTGCAGGCCTTGTTTGATCAAATATTTATAGAGTATGATGGTCTTGGGCCTGGAGGCCTGAAGCAAAGCATGCATTGGCAGCAGTGTGATTGATGGATTGTGGCGGACTTGGTCCAGTAAAAGACAGTAGGGAGTTAGGGTTAAGGACAGGAAGCAAAGTATTAATGTTGATAACTGCTTTTTTTTTCCAGAGTTCCACTGATAACCATGTGTCTTTCCACGTTGTGTCAACACTGGTGGAGTTGCTGTACACGGGTAAGCGAGCGTCGGTCTTTGTCAGTCATGGAGCAACACAAGTCCTGCTGGCTGCTCTAGCAACAGCATCCCGCGCACAACCGGTTTCAGAAGAACTCATGGTGACACTGCATCACGTCCTGAGTAAAATAGGCCCTAAAGGTTGGTATCTCACGATCCTTGCAGTCCAGGACCAATTTCATAAAGTTGCTCAGGTCAGAAATTAGTGGTGGGATGAAAATCCAGATTTTCAAAAATTTGGTATGAATTCAACTACTATTTTTCCAACGCTACAGCTCTGAAGTGTACCAAGGTCCAGTGGTCACTGAATCATGCAAACTACCAATCATCGTGCATGCAGCACCTCACTTGTCACTTTTTGTTGACATGACTGTGAGCTGAATTGGAGATTCTGGTGAAATCGGATAACCGTTATTCGGTTGTAAAAAAATTAGCATAACCGGATTTTGAAATTTCTGATTTCTCCCACCACTATCACAAATTTACTAAGCGCAGAAAATATTGACAGAGGGAAAAAAAAACAGGGCACCGGGCAACATTTTGTGTGTTTGTCTATTGCTGACGACTGGTTCCCATTGTTGTTTTTTTTGCTGAGCATGCACATTTGCTAAGAAACATTTCTGCTCCACAGCAGTTGCTATTAATGAACATTTTCCCGGAGTACATCCAGGACAAATGCAAAGCTTCTTCCAGACAAAACGAATACTTCTACTCACAACTTGATATCAATTGAAACGGGACCTTACACGTTTTTCTAATTCTCACATCCATTTTTTTCACTTTTGGAACATTTCAGATAGAAAATTTGGTGTGAAAGCTCGTCTGAGCGGTGCCCTGGCTATCACGTTTGGCCTCGTCCGCACCAACACTGCAAACTTCGAGATCTTGCAACCAACACTACAGGTGCTCAAGATATATGCAACAAATTGTGAGTTTACTACGTGTAGATTGTTATTCAGTCCATTCTCAACCAGCTTACATCCGCCTTTTATATTCAGGCAATGCCTCAAACATGAACATTCCTGTTCCGTTAAAAAGGTTTCTCTCGGACAATTGGCTTGTTCGTGATGATGTTCCCTTATAAATCTGAACCTTGGTGCATAGATAAATGAGCCATCCGCAGTTTCGCTTGTGAAAGCTTTTACTTAGATATGCATGGCTTAATTTTCCCACATGTGCACATCTGTTGTTTTTACGCTTTTCCCAGTGGGAAGTTCACATGTTCCTGATTTTTTAGCATTCTTAGTGGAATTTTGTTTTAGGTATTCCAAGTTTAGAGACTGAAAGTTAACTAAGGGAATAAATGTGTGCTCGAGAGGTTTTAATCACTCTGTTTAAGACTGCCTAGAGTCTGGATGCTGATAATTACCCGAGCCAGAGGCGAGGGTAGTTATCAGCACCCAGACTCTAAGCAGTCTAAAACAGAGTGATTAATACCGACCGAGCACATATTTATTCCCATTCATAAATACCTTTTCGGTAAAAAAAAATCAAGAAATTCGTTCAAAAAATCCCGATTTTGATCAACAAGTTCACTCCAGCTTTTTGAAACATCCCTCTAGCAAAATAATGGAGTGTTCAGCGGGCGAGTAAGATGTAAACAACCCCTTTATGGAGATTGACGCGCGCGTAGCACGTTCTGCGCGATGTCGCGCAGAACGCACCTGGGGCGTTGCGTTTTAAATTTAGAACTATAAAATTCTGACTAACTGGTTGTGCACACATCTTTGTGTTGCGCATGCCTACGTGAGGATTGTGAACGTTCAACCAATGAAACGGTAAGAGGCACTGGATTTTTAGGAGTCCACATTTTATGTGACACTGGAAAAGTGTTTAAGACCAGCTAGCCATGTCTTTATCATCTGTTTAAGACCGGCCACGTGACGGGCTCTCGACCAATAGGAATAGCTAAACTGTCTGAGGTATTTATGAATAATGATTCAACAGTACTGAAACAACAAGGTGCATAAGAGAGTTTAGTTCACTGTCACTGTTGTTCTCTGTGGTTGGATTGTCACTCTGCTAGGGGTGTGCATTTATGGGTAGTATGGGAACCAGGTTCTTGATTGATAAAACCATGAGTACCTGGGTACCTGTTAAAGAATTCAACCCCAAACTTTGAACCTCTGAAGTTGCTGATTAGATTGTTCATAAAGGTCTGCACGATAATACTACCACATCGGTGCGTCAGTACAGCACGTTGCAAGTGTTGTACAGTGAGCATAGCTTTACAGTGTAAACTGCAACTTTCGCGAGCATCATAAATGTGAAATATGTTTTGGTTTTCCATGTAGCCTGGTTTTCATTTAGAAAATTCCACACAAATGGCATTCAGAACCCTTCTGTTTCATTTTCTGAGAAGTTACTAAGTAATTTGTAAAGTTGGTTATGGGTACCCATCCCATAATCTGGAACCGGTTCCTGACATCAACGACCGGGCACTCGGGTACCCGGTTCCAATGCACAGCCCTACACTCTGCAGGATTGTATAATATCACCCTGATCACCTTGTAACTATTACATTGTCACTAATTAAACCCCCCCCCCCCAAAAAAAAAAAACAAGAAAAAAAAATAAGAATGCTGTGTCAGTCTTTCAAAGAAGTTGGCAAATTGTTCAGATTCTGACACATTTGTAGACATCAAATTAGGTTTTGCCCTTCACCGACGTTTAAACACTGTATACTCAGTGTGTTACCTCCCAAGTGAAAGTTGGAAAAAATCACTCAGGTGGGACTCGAACCCACGACCTCCTGCTTTCTAGTGCAGATGTCTTACCACTCGACCACCCAGCTAACGGGATCGATTGGCCGGTTCGAATCTGATGTACATAGCAGCGGGTACCGCATAAACTATTATAATATGGAATTTTGCGTCGGGGTGATATAAATCAAATTAGGTTTTACCCTTCACCGACGTTTATATCACCCCGACGCAAACTTCCATATTATAATAGTTTATGTGGTACCCGCTGCTATGTACATCAGATTCGAACCGGCCAATCGATCCCGTTAGCTCAGTGGTCGAGTGGTAAGACATCTGCACTAGAAAGCAGGAGGTCGTGGGTTTGAGTCCCACCTGAGTGATTTTTTCCAACTTTCACTCGGGAGGTAACACACTGAGTATACAGTGTTTAAACGTCGGTGAAGGGCAAAACCTAATTTGATTTATATCACCCCGACACAAAATTCCATATTATAACATTTGTAGACAAACATGCGTGTAATTAGTCATTGAGTGAAACTTAGTGTTGTGGATAATGTTAAGTGGGACTTCAAGTTATTTTAAACTGTTTCAGGGGCTCTAGGTGTTATTCAGCGTGATATTTTGAGGAGACTTAGTTATCTATGTAACATGGACATTACATCATTTTGATTAATATTTCAATTGTTTGCACCAATTATACCCAAACATTAGGCATCACAGTAAAATTACAGTGCAGCTTGAGTAAATCTGTACCAATGTCACCCGTTTTTGAAATTTCTCCCAATGCTATCTTGGATATTTTCTTCCAGCTGTTAACGCATCCTATTTGGGGAAATCCGGAGCTGTTAACTGCATGTTTAGGATTCTCTCAGTGTGTGGTCGCAAGCACAACACTACCCTTCGCCTTGCGTTGGACATCCTGTGCCAGCTTGTCAAATCAAGTAAGTCACTTTGCTAACCGTTTTATCTTAACCTGGAAAACCATAAAATGTGTATGTTTTGACTTTCTAATAAATACATTTAGCTACACTAAAGGTCCACCACTGTATAATGATTGGATTCTATCGATATTAACAACAGAAGACCTTCCGTTATATATTGGTTTGTGCCTTTCGCCGATGAACAACAGTGACGTTAGTTACAGTGTTTATAAAAATATGTCGGTGAAGGGCAAAACCCAATATAAAATTGTATACAACACAAGAATAAATGCCAGTCATCTGATTGGTGGATCGTTGATCACGTGTCATTGAATTATTCGTCCCAATACATTCCGGTGCACCGTTTCATTACTGCCGGTGGTGGCGCTTTATTCTGAATCTCCTTCACAGAATGTCAAATTGGCGCATGATACGCAAGAATCTCTGTTTGTTTTCCAAAAAAATATTGGAACTCTATGTAAATGCTGATGCTGCTAACACAAAGCAGCGAATAAGATTTGCTGCCAAACTATGAGATGAATTTGAATATGGTAGTCCTGAACTTGTCGATAACAGTTTTTTAAATACATAACTTCAGATATGAAAGTTTTGAACTTTGTTGTGGAAAAGTTTTAAACCGAGATAAATGAAATATGCTGGCTAGTTCTTAACTTGTCAAACAGTTTTGAATAAATCGAATATTGGAAGAGACCACCAGTTATTGCTATCTGAAAAAGTAGAACATTGATGTGAGTACCAGTTAACAAGCTAACCAATCAGATGACAAGGATTTAGTCAGGTGTTATATAAAACAAGTAAGGAATGTTTCACATTCGTGCAATGGAAAGAATAATTTCATTCGGTGACAGATGAAATGTTCCATTCCACTCGGCTTCGCCTCGTGGAATGGAACATTTCATCCGTCACCTCATGAAATTAATCCTACCATTGCACTCACAAACATTCATTTTTATGCCCCGCGGCGAAGCCGAAGGGGCATACTGTTTCCGCCTTGTCCTTCCGTGGGTGGGTGGGTGGGTGGGTGGGTGGGTGGGTGTGTGGGTGTGTGTGTGGGTGGGTGGGTGGGTGTGTGTGTCCGGACAAATCTTGTCAGCGCGATAACTTGAGAAATACTTTACATGTGAACTTCAAATTTGGTTTGTGGATTGTTCTTGGTAATCCTAAGAAGCCTTTTGCATTTGGGGCCGAAAGGTCTAGGGTCAAGGTCACAGTGGCTGAAACAATAGAAATTTTGTCAGCGCGATAACTTGAGAAATACTTTACATATGAACTTCAAATTTGGTTTGTGGATTGTCCTTGGCAATTCTAAGAAGCCTTTTGCATTTGGGGCCAAAAGGTCAAGGGTCAAGGTCACAGTGGCTGAAACAATAGAAATTTTGTCAGCGCGATAACTTGAGAAATACTTTACATATGAACTTCAAATTTGGTTTGTGGATTGTCCTTGGCAATTCTAAGAAGCCTTTTGCATTTGGGGCCAAAAGGTCAAGGGTCAAGGTCACAGTTGCTGAAACAATAGAAATTTTGTCAGCGCGATAACTTGAGAAATACTTTACATATGAACTTCAAATTTGGTTTGTGGATTGTCCTTGGTAATCCTAAGAAGCCTTTTGCATTTGGGGCCGAAAGGTCAAGGGTCAAGGTCACAGTGGCTGAAACAATAGAAATTTTGTCAGCGCGATAACTTGAGAAATACTGTACATATGAACTTCAAATTTGGTTTGTGGATTGTCCTTGGCAATTCTAAGAAGCCTTTTGCATTTGGGGCCAAAAGGTCAAGGGTCAAGGTCACAGTGGCTGAAACAATAGAAATTTTGTCAGCGCGATAACTTGAGAAATACTTTACATATGAACTTCAAATTTGGTTTGTGGATTGTCCTTGGCAATTCTAAGAAGCCTTTTGCACTTGGGGCCAAAAGGTCAAGGGTCAAGGTCACAGTGGCAAAAACAAAAGAAATTTTGTCAGCGTGATAACTTGAGATATACTTTACATATGAATTTCAAATTTGGTTTGTGGATTGTCCTTGGCAATCCTAAGAAGCCTATCGCATTGGGGGTCGAAAGGTCAAGGGTCAAGGTCACAGTGGCTAAAACAATAGAAATCTTGTATTTATTCTGAGATCATAGGGATTAGGGATTAATTCATATAAAACCTACAGAAGACACTGATGCTGTCAATGAAAGTTCCATTTGACCAAGGTACATGTAAGTTGATGTTAGAGTGGTGTTATGTCATAGAAACAGTCACGGTTGCGGGGCATTTGTGTTTGTAAACACACCTGACTTGTTTGTATATTATTTGGTACAGTGGCGTTCTGTACATGAATTGCATCAAAGACTTGACTTATTTTGAGACCTTTGTTTTCCATATTTCGCAGAGAGTAATGCCGCCAGGGCGGTCGGTCAGGGTGGTGTCACCATGCTCCTTACCATGATGTGTGATTGGCAACGCAACGATGCTCGGAATAGACATGTCAAGATACGCAAGGCCATCCTCAACACTCTCAAGAACATCACTGTACTCAGTAAGCACAACTTGACTGGGTGGATTTCCTTACAAGAAACTTGCATCTGCTAAATCCAACACTGTGCAGTATTACTAAACGTTCTCCTTTCTACACAGGCAGAATTGAGACATCAATCAATATTTGGAACCTATAATTCTAAATCCTTCAAAATCATTTGAAGTCAGGTACATGTATTTGATTTTGGCAGTTTTAAGCTACTTATATTAGTTATCCCACGAGCGCGAGTAGAACACGGAATAATGCAGTACGTCTGTGTCTCGCATAACACGAGGCCGAATAGCGAATTTATCTTCAAGCAAACTTGACGCACAGTAAAGATGGAACACGCAGGAGGTACACAAACATTTCAGCGGTTATCCCATTATACTTGCGTGCAGAAGGAACGGCGCGCGTATCTTGGAATAGCCACTCGGACTTTTGAGTAAGAAAATTGTTACCAAGATCGTGGTTAAAGGAACCGATCTGGGCATGAACATGTGTCCGTGCGATCGGCCATCCTATATCCTTAATCGTCCTAAGATATAACATTATGAAAAGTCCGTGAATAGTACAGGGTATTTCTAAAACGTCTAATTGTGTCCATAATGTCCATAATGACTTATAATTTTTTTTTTAAATGAACAGAAACTTTAGTACAGTGTGGGAAGAAACGATTGAAATGCTGACCTACGAAATCACGCACAGTGCGCGTGCAGTGTGCCTGTGTATTGTGACCTTCACGCAGTGCCCGGATGTACAGCTTTCCCTTGCAATTGGACCGACTCGCGCTGTCCGCACTGGACTTTTCGTCTTATGAAAATTGACCTGGTCACTTTTCCAGGGCAAAAGTTGGCCGGTAAAAGTAACCACTGGATTCAAGAAAAGTAACCAAAAGGAAACCTTTCTGTGCTGTTTGCACTGGATTAAGAATAGCAATAGTACCCATCGTCTCAGTTAGCTTTCCCAATAAATATCCTTTACGAACATGGCTTAAAAGGAAAATACAACATTTGCAAACATCAAAAAATAAAACTACCAAATCATTTTGAAATACCTTGCTGGACTGTTAGTGAATGACAGTGTAAAGCATCCTGTAAAATCATGGCACCTGGTATACTGTCATTTTCAAGAAAAGTGGTATTTTTGTATCAATTTCCAATGCTTATTGGCCGATCAGCGTTGGAAAAAACTGGCTTTTTTCAAATACTGGCCCCAATTGACCATCGCACTTGTTTGCAATCGATTACAAACCTATGAACGGGTAGGAGCCAGCTAGACTAGTTCCCTGACCTTACAATTCCCCAATGTATGTAAACTGCTCTGTTTCTTCTTATATGGAGTCAGGGAACCAGACTACAGGAAAATGATTGTTTTTCTTGGTTTTTATAGCATTTTCAAACCCAAAACCTCAAAAAAGTCAGTGTAACTATATTTGCTATATATTTCCAACCCACCAATTCCATCCATTTCTGAAAATTACAGCAAAAGCAAATGATGTACATGTATATTCCCTTTAAGTAAGCTAATGTATGATAACACAGTCCAGTGGACTGTTTCCATGATGAACATGGTGACTTTTGATTGACTTCATTTAGACTAGGAACGGAGAAGAATTGTGAATTTCTTGATGGGTGTGATTCAAGTATTTGTTTTTTTACCTTCTTCCTGTACAGAGTCTGGAAAGAAAGCCTTCATTGATTCCAATGGCATCAAGGTTCTGTATGACATCGCTCAGGAAAACACTGCTAGCCACTGTAAGTTCATAAAGGATGGGGTGGTCACTTGACCCATTAAAATGCAGAAAGCAGCTTAAAAGTCAGAATACTGACGCACAGCTATTGAGAACATTCCGAGTGGATTCTATTCAGAAACTGTAGATGGCCCTCCTTTGGACTACCTATGTGAGCTGCAAATGTGGGGTAGCGTAAAACATCTCACATTTCCCCTCATGGTCATAACAAACTGGTTAATAGCAGCATGTAGACTGGTATTGGACTCTGTCATATTGATATTGAGATAATAGTTACCTTTCAGAGTCTATTGATTAAGCAGGACGTAGCTTGCGAGGTCGTCACAACCTCTTCATTCAACGTTGTGGCTAAATCCCTCCGCTCACGAGACCATCTTTGGGGCGGTCACGTGAGAGCAGATAGTCATAGATGGTGGGCAGGTCGTATCCCGCGTCCCTGTTGGGTGTTTGGTTCTGGGTCTTGATCTCTATGGCCTCCCGGATCTTTCTGCTCCAGAAGCGTTCCTCTCGTGCTATGACTTGTACATTGGCCAAGGTGATGTTATGTTTCTGGTCAACTAACTGTTCACCCACAGTTATGAGGGGGTTTGGATCTTGTGTGCTCCTTGAATCTGGTCCCCAGAGATCTGCAGGGCAGTTAAATTTGTAAACGACACCGCATTTGTTGCCTTCGATCCCAGTGGTCTCCCCCAACTCTCCCTTTCTTACCACTGAGGGGGTACTTGTGCACAGAGCCAAGAGCACCATTACTGACATATTCCCCTCATTCAGGTGCATACATGTACTTGTGGATGTCATGCACACAGACGCTTCAGGTTTGTACGCATCACATTTGCTGTGCAGTCTTCAGTGTACTTCGAGAAAAAAAGAGAACAACTTGTTGGCATTATGTCACATATCACCATGTCCATGATTTGTTTCTTAAAGTGAGTTGAATTTATGAAGTCATTTGACCATCAGTGTGTCTCTTGTTTCTTTGCAGGTAAGGAATTGGATTCACTTGTCAATCTAATTAGCGTCATTCTACGTAAGTGCTCCCCTCGTAACCGTCTTCCAGTCACAACCATCAAGTCTTGCGTCCCCTTCAGCCTGCCGGCCAGCACGGTGGGACTGTTGGCCACCAGACCAGAAAGAGAAGGTAGAAGATTTTGTTTCATTTCAGGATAGGAAATCGCATTGAATTCGGTGAATGTTTGGCAAGGCTCTTGTTCATGGCTGAAATATTTCAACATTCAGCCGACCCTTTACAAAGGCTGACGTTTCGCGTGCGACTGGCCTGCTTGGCAAGTGATCATCTCATGAACGATCAAATCTTGAACACACAAACATTCAGACAGGTTTGTTAATGTTGTAAATGGAGGATGTCTAACTTTTTTGCAACAGCTCCCACTGGTTGTGTACACGTTTTCTAATTGAGGACGTCCTCGATCTGACTCCTGTCCTCAATTACATTACAGGGTCTATTGTCCCTATTGTACTCACTGCTCCTTAAGGAACCATGTGTATGTACACACATCTTACAAACACCTTCAATCATGGACCCCCTATTGATCTGGTACACGGTACCCTGTGGAGACATGTGCACAATAGGGAACAAAAGATTGTATACGTCTCCACAGGGTTATCACGAAATAGATATATGGATTTTACTCAAAAACTAGGAATTTCCGAGGTGTGTTGATCCGTCGCAAATTGAAGTATTTATCATTTAAATCATCATACACAAACAAAACACACTATACTCATTAATTTGGGATTGTGCGAGCTGCAGCAACCAATACTTTTAATTAGCTTACACTGTTTCATCGACTTCTCAAATACACATCATTATTACTGATAACTTTGCACGATATACATCGAGATATATATCAACATATTAAGTATTAATCACAAACTGTGAATTCGACCCATTGCTTTTGGTGATCGCCAGATATGAAAAACCACAAACCTTTTTGGAAAAAGTGGAAACGTATGCCCTGACCTATGCTGACCACCGCTCTCAGGCTAGCTAAGCAATGATAATGGGAGGTTCTTAAAACAACGTATTTTAAGATAGAATTACTTTAGCCATTACAATAGCATATAATTAAATAAATAACGTGTGTTGCGTTGCTGCTAGCAAGCGTGAAGTGACGCGTTTCTCCGCTAGCATCACATACCACTACCTATTCAAAATTCCCGCTCTGACCATCGAACCATACAATCATTAGCATATCAATGATAAATTCGATGCATTCTAATTCATTCTGGACTCAACCGAATACATCAACTTTTTATGTAAGGGATATTAAGTCCGAAATTTCAGCCGAGGAAATTAATTCTGGTTTAAATAGGAGCATTTTGAAAGTACACTTTCAAACTCGAACACTTTAGTATACGAGAACAGAGAAATGATTCCACAAGGATACAAATTCCAGTATTGTGTGTCCCTCTTGTGTTTATACTCTTAACTTTTTGTAAGACCTCCCATATGTTTTGTACACACACATCAAAAGTGGACCTTCGGTCAATCGATATCATTGATACAACTGTCCTCTATTGTTCAAAGTTCATGATTAGAATGTGTATACGTGTACACATACACATACTCCTTTTGTCTTTGTACATTGGACAAGTTCGCGCAAGAACTATGGTTGGCCAATGTTTAATCATAGTTCGACTAAAGTTAGCCCGAATTCTGTCTAGTCGACGGTGGTTGGCTACGCTAGTCGACTATTTGGAACCAATCTACTGGGGTTGGTTGCATCGCTGGTAACCAATAGCAGCGCGCATTCATAATGTACAGCAGGGAGCCAGGACCCAGAAGTTTTGCGATGACATTTTGACCAGCGTTTTTGACTAGAGATGTTCGCACGTTGCTTTTAGTGCGCAGGCGTAAGGTATGTCACAAATCAACCACTAGTCGACTAATGGTCCTTGCCCGAACTTTCTCTATAGTGGTGATATATGGTTGATGCAGTGGATAGTTACCAGTCTTGGAAAAATGTATTGAATAAACTTTCTTGGTACTGATCAAGTATTAGTGCTTGTAATGCTCATACAGACATGGTTGATTGTTTGCAAAATACAACTGGAGAGCAGGTTTAAAATACAAGAGCTGTTTTTTGTTCAAATGTGGGTTTCATTTAAGCATTGGGGAAAACTTGGAAATAGATTTGAAATGTGTGTATTTTGGGTCCATTTTGTCCTAGGTGATGATGTCATTGATGACAGTGATGATCAAGATGATGACATCAGTAGCAGTGATGAACAGAAGGACAATGAACAGGTATGTGCAAATAATCTTATAATCTTACTGATTCAATAACTAAACATGGTCTGATTTTTCTGGTTGATGTCTCATTCAAAAGTGAATAACGTTTGTATTTCTAGAAAAATAGCAATTTAGGAAAAGAAACTATTTATTCGGGATGAAACTCGAAAATAGCACGGGGATATATCTTTAATTTCCTTTAATAAACCAGTGAGTTTTTAAAAGTACACAGTTTTATTTTATCATTTGTCTGTGTAGTGATTGCCCCAAAGGTTGTTGGGCATCTCTGTTATGTATGCCTAGCGCCCTCATGCGGCCACATGTGGGCAGGTTTTGTGGGAAACAAGTACAGAGCTGCATAATTTCTAATGCAGAAACATGTATGTGTAATTGTGTATATATGCACACAAGCAGTGATACAAGAAATGTGGATCTGGTGCACGGTACCCTGTGGAGACATGTGAATAATAGGGAACAAAAGATTGTATACGTCTCCACAGGGCAATTTCTATAGATGAGTACGTCTCCACAAAGTTATCATGAAATAGATATATGGATTTTACTCAAAATCTAGGAATTTCCAAGGTATATTGATTTGTCGTAAATTTAAGTATTTTCATGGGATATTAAGCTTGAATTTAGCCCAGGAAATTAATTCTGGTTAACATAGGAGCATTTTGAAACTACACTTTCAAACTCTAAAATGTTAGTACACGAGAACAAGGAAATGACTCCACAAGGATACAAATTCCAGTATGGTTGTTCACGTGTTCATTTGTGTTCAAGCATTTGTATTATTAGAAAAAAAACCCAGACTGAATGGAAATGTTTATAAATTACAATGAATAGTTTAGTAATAAATTAATGACTCCTTATAGTGGTTGGTAAAGTAGAATTTCCTAGCCCTCAACTGCAAATTTTTTTTCTCAAACTTTCATACTGACATTTTAACAATTTTTGTATGCCTGTTTTGTGTTCCTGTACTACACACTCTTGAAAATCTATGACTGTATGATGTGTACTGAAGATAAAACACTTGATGTTTTACATAATCATTAACCCTCCTGCTATCTAAACAGTCACAGACAGTCAAAAAAATCAATCCTCTTCCCCTGCCATGCCTTTTACACAGGCTAGTCACCAACAGTCAGATCATATTTCAAGCAAGCACTATGACTAGTCAAATTCAGTCAACAGACAAAAACCGGCAAGTGGTAGGCACAGCTGGTTTATCAATCACCTACAGTCAAAGCACAGCTGTATCAAGTTTCATAAACAGTCACAGCCAGTCAATCCTGCTTCATGTAGGCTGGGAGCTCTTAACTGTTGAAAACGGTCACTTGATTGATTTTGACTGAAAGGACAACTCGGTACAGAAAGTATGTTTTCTTAGAAAGGTTAAGTAACTTTTGTTTGGTTTTGTTTAAATTGTCATAATATTTGTTTTTCTGTATAAAACAGCATGCTATGCCCATCGCTTGTCCCTAGTATTTGATACAGGAGAGCTGTTTTCATTTTTTAGCGACTAGCGACACGTGGGCACTCCAAGGATGACTACTAGGGACTTTAATTGGGTGCAGTAGTCCCAATAGCCTTGGGCATGTATTTATGAACTCAAAAACCAATTCACAGTACATGTATGTGGGAAGAAATCATTGGGGTGTGAGCTGTCCTTGAAATTCCCTGGGGATAAAGAAAATTGCAGAGCAAGTTTCAATACACTGAAGAAGATCCGATTCTGGCAAATGGCCAGTTACTGGAAGCTATTTGAAAACTGTCTACTTTGAAAAAGAAGAATTCCATCTGCAATAGCCCCTGGACAATTTCTGTTTGTTTGTTTGATTGTTTTTCTTCTGTTGTAATAACCCCTAGAGACTCTTAAAGGGCTAATGACCTGGACGGTTACATAATCTGGTGATTATAGATGAGAATTCCTGTCTAGGAAGAGGTCTAGACATCTGAAGAAAAAAAATGATTTAAACCTTTGTGACTCGCAACTATTCCTATTCCTGTCTAGATTTAGGTGAGCTCGTTACATGTGAACATCTGACACCCACGTGTTCTATGGAGAAAGAGACTTGTTTTGGGTGTGAAATATCAAAAATGTTTCTGTGATATATTTAGAGTTGTTGACTGCTGTGATATATTTCACAGTTGTTGACTGCTGTGATTTGGGACATGGCGATTCTTTATTCCCTAGGGACACATAACACCAAATGGGAAATTCTTTGCTTAATTAAGGACTTCTATCCTTAAGCAAAATCCTGCAAATTCGTGGAGTTTGAAGGGTTAAGATTAACCCTCCTATGTAAACATACCGTGTACATGTACATTCTGTGCCAAGTAGTCCTTTCAGTCAAAATCAAACAAGTGACTGTTTTCAACAGTTAAGAATTCCCATCCCACATAAAGCAGGATTGACTGGCTGGCACTGTTTGCTTTGACTCCGGGTGAGTTTAAAACAGCTGTGCCCACAACTTGCCTGCTTTGTCTGTTGACCCAGTTTGACTAGTCACAGTGTGTGCTTGACATGTGATCTGACTGCTGGTGACTAGCCTTTGTGAATTTTGACTGTCTGTGACTGTTTAAATAGCAGGATAGCATAACATCAATTGAAATTAGCCAGAAACCGTACTTGGTCAAGTAGTTCAGACATCTGTAATAGTAACCATGAGGTGGTTGGTTCGAGTCCAGCCTGACAAGCTTATACAGAATGTTTCTACCCAGTAGATATAACAGAATGTGGGCAAGCAAGCTTTCATGCATGAACATGAATAACGGCTGTTTCTTTGGATCAATATACAGACAGGTTGCAAGTTAAAATTTAGTCCTATTCATTTTGGTGAAACTGTTCTTGAAGATGAGTCCAGGTCATTTCCTTGTTTATGGAGAGAAATCTCCAAGAGTGTCATGCCGTGGCTCATAACAACATGAAATATGATTGGTTGTTAATGTCCGGGCATTATGTCATTCCCCATTTCAGCAGTCAAATTTCTTTTAAAGCTATAGTCCATCATTTGTAATTTGTGCATTTTGTTCGTTTGAAGCAACAAAAGGGTTCAAATTCTAATGAAGGATGCTGAACAACTAATCTGATGAAGTTTCAGCTAAGCTTCAGCTGTACATTCCGAGAAAAACAGCATTCTAAGATCTCAATTTCAAATCAAAAGTTACTGAATCATATTTTGAATTGTTTTGAATTGCAGCTATACGCGACGTAGCGCACTGATCCGACGAATTATAACAACCGCGTGCGCGTGTGCGTCGTTCCAATTTGTGCGCACTGCGCTGAATAACAAAACGAACTACTAATTTAAATTTTCCTACGGTGCTTCTTAAGAATCACCGTTGGAAATGCCTTCTTTCGTTGATTACTTCAAAATGACAGCTTCCCAGAAGGAATAATTTCACAGGGAGTTTAGTTCCCTTACTATCTTTCAACCAAGTTTGTTTTTCAACAATAATTACGCCAGTTACTTTTCGGATGGCTGCAAATGATGGACTATAGCTTTAAACAAAAAAAGCCAGATCGTTTGATGCTGGATAAAGCAATCGCTTGGTCATTTACAGTCTTGAATTGACATCCTGTGTGAACGATTCTACTTAAAAAGAATTTGTGTGGGCGCTAAGCCCCTTAGAGTCCTTGAGTCACAACAGATAAGAACCAAAGCTTTTAACAGGAGTCAGGAATAGTCAAAAATAGTTGCTGAGTGAACGATAAATGCTTTAACCCTATTGAAGCATGTCCCAGTGCTCCGAAATCCTCACAGGGCTGATAACTGCAAAGTGGACATGGGCCTCCTGTGCTTTCATGACTTAATGTTTTGCCCTGCCCAAGTCAGAACGGCGATTGCACGCAACAAACATTACTGGGAATTCAACATTTGTTTTTACCCTAATTTTTAGAAATGGATAGATATTGGGGGTCAGTGTTTTATAGCAAATATTGTTGCGCTGACTTGTTTGAAGTTTTGTGTTCGTACATGAAGATGCTGGAAAACCAAGAAAAACAATCATGTTGTATAGACTGGTTCCTTGACCCACTTAATGTTATAGACATGATAGACGGAGAATTGTAAGGTCAGGGAACCAGTCTAGCTGGCTTGTAGCCATTCATAGGTTGTGTAATCTGTTACAAACAAAATGCGGACTAACTAAATATGGCAAATTGGGAGCAGTATCGGTATTTGAAGAAAAAAATCCCCAGTTTTTTCCAACGCTGGTCGGCCGACCAGTGTTGGAAATTGATACAAAACCAGTTTTTTCCAACGCTGGTCGGCCGACCAGTGTTGGAAATTGATACAAAACCAGTTTTTTCCAATGCTGGTCGGCCAACCAGCGTTGGAAATTGATAGAAAAATACCACTTTTCTTGAAAATGACAGCACACCAGGTACCATGATTTTACAGAATGCTTAAGACTGTCATTCACTGACAGTCCAGTAAGGTATTTCATAATAATTTGGTAGTTTTGTTTTTTGATGTTTGCAAATGTTGTATTTTCCCTTTAAATCCAAAACGCAGACTTTTGTTATGCAGAATTTGACAGATCTCTTTACCCAAGTGGGAAATGTAGACAAAGGAGGTCACTGACACGTGATATGACCTGTCTGGTGGATAATTGAGTGGAAAAACAACATCAGATAAAACTGTCTGTGGCATATCATGCTATTTATGGTTGTTTCTGCGCAGATTTTTGCTTCTTACCATTTGAATTCCCTGAGAGTCCCCTTTTTACCAGTGAAGTTTAACCTCTGTAAACAAGAACATCAATCACAGCCATTCCATGTAAGGGTCATCACCAAACTCAAAAATTGAAGTGAAAGGAATAAATTTTTGTCAGTTATATTTGATAAGAGGAATATTGAAACCATCTAAATCTCAAAAGATTTTTTAAAATAAATCATTTGAATTAAAATTTCAGCCTCCTGAACATGGATGAATTTTGTGGGCGAAACGGAGGGTCAGGGGTATAAATCACAAACTGAGGAAGTAATTGAAGCTCATTCATAAGATTGTGCTTTATCTGCATACATTTGGTAGCTATTCCAGTCTATTTGATAAAACATTGAAAATTTTTCGAAATGTCTTCAGTATTTTCCCACTATTTCATCGTGAAAACACCCTCAAAAATATGTCACGCGAGTCACAAAAAAGGACTTTTTTTCAGTTTACTTAATAACTAGAGAGGGATTCAGCTAGTGTTTGATATTTGTAAATGAAATAGTGGTGGTCTATCAATAAAAGTATGAATATTCTTATTTGCTCTACATTCCTTGTAGAAAAAACTATCTCAAGAATGTCACGCGAGTCACACATGATGTATGTCACGCGAGTCACCAGGGGTGGATCCAGGAATTTTCGCAGGGGTGGGGGGTTTCATCAGCCAAAAAATTTGAAAATGTACACACGTTTTTTTCTCTGGACACTCGCTTCCGTAAAATAAAAAACTGGGGGGGGGGGGGGGGGGGGTGGGGGCTGGTACCAATTTCAACCGGGGGCGCTGTTCAAATTTGACGATTATTAACACATTACAGAATGGTGTACCGTGTTTTGAACAGGCGGACATTAGACCAGTATAATGTTTTTGGGGGTGTCACGCGGGAGGGGGGGGGGGGGGTTCGACTTATTCTTCAGGAATTTGTTAGAGAATTTTTTTTTTTGACAGAGCTGGGGGGGGGGGTTGACCCCCCCAAAAAAACCTCTGGATCCGCGCCTGGTCACAAGCCAGGAATGTTTTATTTACATGTAATACGAAGAAACAATGCCATAGGCCCTATTAAATTATAGAATTCGAATTAAGTCTTTAAAAGCATTAGTTATGTAACAAGAAATTGAATCAGTTTTTTACAAATGTATATACAGTCGAGTCTCGTTAATACAAACTCGTTCGGACCTAGCCAAATTGTTTGTTATATCAGAATTTTGTACTAAGAGGAACATCAGTCCCATTCATTGTGCACATAAATGCACAGTCGGGACTAAGGCTTTATGTTTGTTATAACCAGAATTTTGTATTAACAGAGTTTGTACAAACGAGATTCGACTGTACTGTATACATTCCGTTACAAGTGCATCATTAATTGCAGCTCGATCTTACCATTTAAGGAAACTGTGACTCTACATGACCAAGAATTACAACTGTTTTCCTGAAATAATCACCCGTGGATTGATGACATCACTTCGTAACTAAAATTCCAAAACATTTTTTTCTCTCTATGTCATTGTTAAGGATATTGTGTTTAAACCAGATTTCCACCCCCAACATTTGCCAAAGTAAAGGGATAAATAGCAGTTTTCACACTCTTTCATAAGGTATTCACAGGTAAATCATTTTTATTAATATAATATTATGATTTGATTCGTTATACTAAAATTACAGTTATAATGTGAAAGTGAAAAGCTACTGTGTCACGCGAGTCACGCATTTGTGTCACGCGAGTCACATTTTCTTCAGGCCATTTCTTACAACAAGGGATATTTGGCACAATACAACTTATGCATGTATTGGGTGAGGGTATTAAGTTCTAAGTTCTGTAAGAATAATTTTTAGAACACTGGTAGATCCATAGGAAAAGCTATTTGAATCAAGGGATGTCAAAAATCCCTTTTTCTATCCTGTCATGCGAGTCACGTCAAAGAAACCGTGATACATGAAAAAATAGCGATTTTAAAGTAATCATATAAAGACTAAACCATAAATTCACAATGCCCTGACTCAAATACATGCTAATTTGAGTTGAATAAATGCCAGGTTAACAACAGTAATGCATTAAAACTTTACATTTTGTTCAAATGTCACGCGAGTCACCATGGAATGGCTGATCAGAATAATAGATTTGAAGTGTTTTGAAGCAGACTTGCACTCAAATGGGCACAAACAAAATGTATGAAGATATCCAGAACCGAGCCTTGAATTTATCTACATAATACAATGCCAAGAATGTCCCAGGTGCCACAGTGGCAAACAAATTGCGATCATTGCAATAAAAAACAAAACATTAGAAATCTGGTGGAAACCATGCCTCAAAATTGGCTATTACATCAAAAACACTCTTGACTATTGATCTTTTCATTTGTGTCACGGTTAAAATTTGGTGTTTGTGTCATGAGTTTTGGGAGAGGGCAGTATTTATAGGTGGACATGGAGTGTATCATTTGTAAACTGTACATTCTTTCGTTTGAAGCAACAAAAGTGCTCAAAATCTCAAGAAGGATGCTTAACAACTAACCTGATGAAGTTTTAGCTCTGTGAATGCTATAAATTCAGAGAAAAAAATATTCCTAGTATTCTAGGATCTCGAGTTCAATTCAAAAGTGGCTGAGTCATGTTGTGAATTGCGCCCAAAATTAGCGTCCAGGATACCGTATGTTCTCACTCAGCCGATTGCAGCTCCACGATGTCACGTGCTGAACCGACGAATTATAGCAACCACGCGTGCGTGTACGTGTCGTGTCAACACTTGTGTACACCCATTCACAGCTTCGCCGAATTGAAAACAAACTACTAACGGAAATTTCCTAAAAAGTGTATTTGACGCACTTTTGGAAATGATCTTCTTTTATTGTTTTCTTCTAAATGCCAACATGCCAGAAAGAATAATTTCACTGGGAGTTTAGTCCCATTACTATGTTTAAACCAAGTAAGCTTTTTAACAATAATTTTGTCAGAACACTTTTTGGATAGCTGCAAATGATAGGCCTACTCTTCCTTTAAAAATAGTGGAAAAAGTGCTAAATTTTAAATTTCACTGCAGCTATTATGAAAAACGTATCATTTCACTCCAGAGCAAGTACCAACATGACTAAGGAGTTAGGCTATTCGTCGGCTATATCACCAAAAGAAAGTCGCGTTTGGAGTTTTTCCATGTGTAATTTATAAACCATTCTATGCCTCCATTCTGAGAATTCTTTCTCCAAAACAATTTAAAGCAAAATGTGATCAGCCTACAATGTAATTTGGTATTACTGATAGGCATCCTTCAAGGATTTTGCCCCGGGACGTTCTGCAGACAACCAATGCATAAATCATCCCAGCTTTGTTGCACCATTTCTCTCAAACCTCTATGAAAAATTCCCTGACTATCTTTTAATAGCCCACACCGTTGCCCCTTTTATCCAAGACTATTTAAAATGCCAACACTTTTGCTTGGGGGTGAAGGCAGTGTCCAGAGATTGAAAATGGGATAATCACTCAAGGGATTGAGAAAAAAATTGTGAAAAGGTACTATCCTTGAAGGAGAGTTTTTACCTTTTGAAATGTTTTTCACGGTGTGAGTATGAATAGACAGCATATTCTCTAGTGCTCCATGGGTGTTTTCTGCTCTGGTTACATCAATTTTAATTGCACACTAGTCTTTCTTATCCACAGCTGTATCGTCCAGAATGTTGCCCTGTTTAAAAGTTTCAAAAATTAATTTGAGAGTAGATTTTGAAGTGTTGATTTTGATCTAATTGTTTAAGGCTAAAACTCTTGTGATTTTTGTTCCTCTTATTGTATAAAATTTGGAGGTCATTTTGTGCGTAGCCCCACAAATCAGCTTGCACTAAGCAGCTTTACAGAATTGGGTTTTAGTGGCAGTTATGTAGGCTTACAATGAAGCTTTCTCTGAAGGCCAAGAAAAGGAAGCCATCCACAAAGCTTGGAGGGATTGTTTCTGAAGAACATTTTTTTTTGGAAAGCTCTATTTTCTTTTAATCCAATATTCATAAATACCTAAGACAGTTTACCCATTCCTATTGGTTGAGAGCCTGTCATGTGGCCAGTTTTAAATGGTTGATAAAGACATGGCTGGCTGGTCTTGAATACTTTTCCAGTGTCACATGAAATTTGGACTCCGGTGCTTGTACCCTTTTATTGGTTGAACGTTCACAGTCCTAACATAGACATGTGCAATGCCACTGGTGTGAGTCAGTATTTCAAAGTCCTAAATTCACAATACACCGGCACAGCTGCGTTCTGCGCCACTTGAGCAGTACGTGCAACACACACACCAATCTTCATATAAGGAGTTGTTTACGACGTCCTTGCAAGAGGGACATACCATAATATAGCTAGAGGGGTGTCTAGAAAACATGAAGTAAATTTGTTGAACAAAATCGTTGGAAATTTATAATTTTTGACTTGTTTTGCCTTTTGGAGTTTTGATTTTGTTTGACCGAAAAGGTATGAATGGGATTCAGCTCGGGTAATTATCAGCATCCAGACTGCAGCCGGTCTTAAACATAGTGCTTAAAACGGGCCAAGCACACATTTATTCCCTTATTAAAAGTTTTTAAAAAGTGTGCATTCAGTTTGTCTATTGACAAATTAAAAAAAAAAAAAAAAAAAAACTTTAATAAAAACTGATTTTTTTTTTCCCCCCTTTATAAGATGATTCTTTTCACAAAATTTCTCACCGCATAGTCAAACCATTTCAAAAGTGTATGTAGCAATGGTTTGGAAATTTAATTTATTTAGTAGTACACCATACATGTTATGTACATGGGATCATAAATAGATATTTTAGGGGAAAACGAAGGTAACTTAATTTTGTACACACAGGTCCTCGTCATTAATATTCTGTTTTATTTATTGCATTTTTGGTTTTTATTATTTTGATTTGTCAAAAAAAGTCTTTCAATAAGCCAAATCTTATTGTTATCTGGCTTTACCTTTGCATAATTTAGAACCCTTCTGGCGATCTCTATTCTTGAGATCTCTAGCCACTCTTTTGACATTTCCAAGATCGTGATCTGTCTTATGTTTATTCGAACAGGAGCAAGACGGTACTGAGTCTGACAAGCAATCTGAAGTTCCGAAACGATTGCCGGAGGACCTAGCGATGTACGAACACTTCTTCAGAGAACTCACAGATTATGAAGAGGTATGGTCTAGGAAACTATCACCTACACGTAGCTGTCTCTGCCAGCCTCAAATCTCGTCTTTCCAAATACAAAAAAAAAAAAAAAGTTGACATCAACAAAGGAGCAAGGACATTTTCATGAGGTGTTCGAGTACTTATTTTCACTTCTACCAAAGTCTTGATTCTTTTGTTCTTTTGTGAATTTTAAGTGCATTTCAGAATAAAGGCTATGTCAAAAACCTGGATAACTTGGGAATTATCTACTGGATTTTTAGCCTATGGTGAACTGATGTTTTTTTTCCTAATGGTCAATTTTTTAACGCTGCATGTAGGTATATCTATGAAAAGAGAATGCATTGGAATATGTGCACGCAGACCTAAGCAAGAACATCCTATTCCAGTAGGTTACATGTGGGGAACCTAGCTGTATCCAGGTGGGAACATGCGGTGCTCTCAAAAAAAGGGGGTTTACCAAATTCAGCAGAGCATTCTAGATCTTGAGAAATTATAAGTGACGTATCTCTTGATCTCTGATATAAGTTTAACAGGTGTCAGTTCAAATAATTTTGATTTGATTCTGGAAAAAAATCTATCAGTTTTTGCAGGAGGAAAGTGACTCAGATCAGGAGACAGGAGATTGCCAGCCTATTCTCATCCCGACTGCCGGATCATCAAGTTCCTCCACCAACGCCCACCCTCACAGGACTCATTCCTCTTCTCTCCTCGTGAGCCGCACCCGACCTAGCAAGCAGCTCCGAGAGAATCGGCTGAGCTTGCCCAACCTGTCCCGCATGAGCAGCCTGGTCAACAGCAGCACCGGCCAGCCGCTGGATGAGCCGCAGCCCATACAGACCCTGGCTGTCAATGTCAGTGGGATACGGCTTGATCCATCTCTCCTAGATACCCAGCCTGAACCGAAACACTCCAGAACCTTATGTAAGTCGGTGGCTGCCGACAGCAGCAACGGCATCGACATGACAATCAAGGGTGGTCGTGCTTCCTTCACTGTCGGCAATCCCAATCGCTCACCCAAGCAAGCTACCTCATCCAACAGGTATAACCTACGCTCCCCGCCCAAACTACGCAAGCTCTCCAGGTCCTTAACAAGTCTGAAGCAGACGGCTTCCGATCATACCTCCCGTCCCGGATCCAGGCAGAGCAGTAAGTGGAAGTTAGATCCTGAGCTGGAAGAAACACAGCAAGATACCCTCAGGGCTTCCATGACCATATCTCGCATGACGCTCCGAACGCCAGAATCTCAGCCCCAGCACTGTGTCTCGCCAGAGTCTGACTCAATCAGCCTGGACGACTACAGCTCAGAACTGTACGCAGATCTGATGTGCAAAACCAAGAGGGTGTTGCCATTCCGGAGAATAGCACAGCCGGAGTTGCGCGGCCACAAAAGCCCGGCATCTCCAGAGTTGTTCTTCGAGAAATCTCCTGGTGTACAAAGGTGAGATAGCTGCGTACAACTTGTCATGCACATCTTCAGATTTGTCATCAGTCACTCCTTTGAAAATGTTACTGAAGTGTCTTCCTTCAGCATTGATTTTCTTTTATTTATTACCATAGTTTTCTCTGTTTTTGTGCATTTAGTGCATGCTGAATTTTTTTTCGAAACTAAAGTATAAACTATCTCTGATAGGTCTCTCTCAAATGACGTCATTTCCTACAGACCAGCCACGTGCATCAGCATTTTGAGCGTCAAGTTGCATAACGCGCATCGGCTGCGCCGTATTTCGAACACACTTCGAGCAACAAGCGTGCGTGTTTGGAACATTTTCAACACTGCGTAATGCGTGCTTGATTGTGTAAAATATACAGTTGCAGTTCTCCTACAGAGATGGCCGTCTTTGACCTATATAATTTTAAGTTTGAACAAAGAAATTGACTGGAGCAGAGTCTGAACCTGCGACCTCCGGATAACCGTTCCAGTGCCCTACCAACTGAGCTATCCAGCCCTATGTTGGTGGCTCCCAATTTAGTCAATATCTTTGTTCAAGGGGGGCTAGTTAGAAGCCATAAACCTGATATGCCATGTAGCCAGGGACTACGCCCAAAGTCACGATGCATTCAATGTTGCAAACCCGGGAAATAACAAACAGGAATCACTCAGAGACCACTCGGAGGGAATATGGCTTTTAATTACAAATATACTGAGTAAGTTTCCCTTTGTGATTTCTTTGAAAATGTTTAATTTAATTTCTAAATTTCTTAGTCCTGTTCTTCAACCAGTTCGCACCGGGATTATTTTGTCATTGAACCTTGATGCCAGACGGGTTCAGATATTAATGGCCTCGCATGTTTATCCGTCATCCGTTCCAAAAACCGCAAAGCCTTTGCGTGTATGCACCTCATCAGACGTGAACTGTTCTAATAGTTGTTTGATCCCTAGACTCCAAAACTCCATTTGAGAATCATTTTGCATCGTAATGTCTTTCCACAGAGCCATGATATTTGAGGACATTGACCGAGTAATCCATCCAGACAAAGTCATAGACAGGGTGGTCTTTGACTTGGACACCGAGGTCAGGACGAGGGGTTCAGGGTCAGAGGCAACCAGCAGCTCCGAACTGTCATCTGATTCCTCGGCCAGACGCAATAGGTATGCAAACACTTCATGTAATCGTACCGGTAGTAGGAAATTAATTATTGCATGAACAAAGTAAAATTGACCAAAGTGGGATTTGAGTTGATGACTTCTAGAATCCTTAGTAGCCCTGCACCAAGTGAACTATCTATCTATCTAAAGTGATCACCCGCTTGTGCAGTGTCTTTGTTCTGGGATTGTTTAATAATCAGAAGGTGGAGATGACAGCCCTACTTGATGACATAACCAGGGTTGAAGGGTAGAAAGCAAGAGAAAGTAGAACATTGCCAACCAGACTCAGTTGCAGCTTCAATATTGTCTTTCCTCGAACCTTGCATACCTTTATTCTCACTTCTCTAATTAAAACCCTCCTTTATTAACCCTCCTATACTTGTAACTGTCACTAACTATCAAAAAACCTAACCCTACCTCCCTCGGTAGCTTTTGTACAGGCTGGTCACCAACTACCAGAAATCCCTATGGATTACAACATATACAGTAGAACGCTGCTATAACGAACATCGCGGGATCCACAGAAATTGTTCGTAATAGCGATCGTTTGGTATAGCGATACCAAATGATCTGCCGGTGCCGGTGTTCCGGTACTCATTTTTCAATAAATAGCGCCCTTCAGAACTTCACCCTGCAGGCCATGGTACTTTTAGCTATTGAAAGATGACTTTGAACACGTGCCCACTATTGAATAATGTAATTACACAGATTGTGAGCTTACTACCTGTACCTACAGCAATGGGTTGCTTTCCTCTTCTATTCTTTGGGAAAATAATAGCCACTTTTCGCTCTTCTGTTGACATTTTTCAACAGCAATGTTCGATGCATTTTGTACACAAAAATAAAGAGCCAAGGACGATATTCGGTATAGCTGAATGTTCGGTATAGCGGTGTTCGGTATATCGATGTTCCACTGTAACAGCCAAAGCCTGTTTAAAGTGGTTTGATAGATTGGTTGACCATTAATACTGATACAGGTTGTGTAGCAGCCATTTTAACCTGTCAATTATACTGGTACCAATATGAGGCCAGTTTACAGACCTGTTCAAAATTGTAACCTGATAGATTTTGATCCATAAGGTTGCTCACTACACATCATCACTGAGAGAGGGAGGGTTTTAACATTTGTCACTGCAAAGATGTAATTTGTCATCCTTTGTTTCCCCCATCCACTCTCTTCAAGTTCCCTGGAGGAGTCAACTTTGACCTTTGACTCCCAGTTTGAGTGTGGCAACCTGAGGAAGGCCATTCAGGTCCGGCAGTACGAGTACGACCTGCTATTGAACTCGGACATAAACAGCAATCACCACCACCAGTGGTTCTACTTTGAGGTATCCAGCATGAGGGCGGACGTGCAGTACCGGCTCAATGTCATCAACTGCGAGAAAACCAACAGCCAGTTTAACTATGGTACTAAACCTTGTTTTCTTTCATTTTGGACTTGTCAAAACTTAAGGTGGAAAACCCCCCTGAAATCGATTTATGCTAACTTCCTGTTCAAATCAATGAATTGAAGTTACTTGTGTGGCTGATGTCAAGTAGCACCTACATGTACAATTTGAGATTAGCTCAGCAGTTGCAACGGCGGATCGAGGGGGGGGGGGGGGGTGGCGACGAGGGCCATTGGTCTCCCCCCCCCCCCCCAAAAAGGAACCCAATTTTTTTTCTTCAATTGACGTCGCAAAAATAGGCAGCCACTGCGTACAGCACTATCTTTTGCTAAAAGAGATTGGTTTAAATGGTCAGCAGTTGCCTCAGATCGCACAACAGAGCATCTAGGTCAAGGTCACAGTGGCTAAAACAAAAGAAATTTTGTCAGCGCGATAACTTGAGAAATACTTTACATGTGAACTTCAAATTTGGTTTGTGGATTGTCCTTGGCAATCGTAAGAGGCCTATTGCATTTGGGGCCGAAAGGTCAAGGATCAAGGTCACAGTGGCTAAAACAATAGAAATTTTGTCTGCGCGATAACTTGAGAAATACTTTACATGCGAACTTCAAATTTGGTTTGTGGATTGTCCTTGGCAATCCTAAGAAGCCTATTGCATTTGGGGTTGAAAGGTCAAGGGTCAAGGTCACAGTGGCTAAAACAAAAGAAATTTTGTCAGCATGATAACTTGAGAAATACTTTACATGTGAACTTCAAATTTGGTTTGTGGATTGTTCTTGGTAATCCGAAGAAGCCTATTGCATTGGGGGTCGAAAGGTCAAGGGTCAAGGTCACAGTGGCTAAAACAATAGAAATCTTGTATTTATTCTGAGATCATAGGTATTAATTCATATAAAACCTACAGAAAACACTAATGCTGTCAATAAACGTTCCATGTGACCAAGGTACATGTAAGTTGATGTTAAAATGAGTGGTGTTATGTCATGGGAACAGTCACGGTTGCGGGGCATTTGTGTTTGTAAACACACCTGACTTGTTTTATAAAGCGGCCGCTAATGATACCATATTTTCTAACAAATTTGATGCCTTTTTCCCCCGTCTTCAACCTCCCCAAAGGTATGCAACCAGTCCTGTATTCAGTACGAGAGGCCATGGAAGGGCGCCCTCACTGGGTGCGAGCAGGCATCGACATCTGCTACTACAAGAACAACTTTGCCCGTAGCTCCCTAGCCACGGGGGGACAGAAGGGCAAGAGTTATTACACGTTTGCCTTCACGCTAATCTTCCAGTACACGAACGACATCTGCTACTTGGCCTATCATTACCCGTTCACGTATACAATGATGAAGGTAATGAGAATATCTGTACTTTTTATTGTAAGATTATTTCAGAGTAAAAAATAAAAATTATAAAGTTGAGCAAAGAAATTGGCTGGAGCGGGGTTTGAACCTGCGATCTCCAGATTGCCGTTCTGGTGCTCTACCAACTGAGCTTATCCAGCCCTATGTTGGTGGCTTTTCCCAATTTGTCAATATCTTTGTTAATTAACCCTAACCCTGCCAGGCGCAGCACAACACCAGATTTTTCCATTTTTCCTTGCTCTTTTTGATGTTGTGTAGAGATGTCTGAATATCACTTATGTGAAAGTCACACACTTCTTAAACTTGAGGTGTGCATTCTCCTTGGTAACACTATTGTTTAAAGGTACCATACAACATTTGCAAACATTAAAAACAAAACTACCAGATTATTATGAAATACCTTACTTGAGTGGAGTGATAATAGTCTGAAGCATCCTGTGAAATCATGGCACCTGGTGTGCTGTCATTTTCAAGAAAAGTGGACTTTTTGTAATTTTTGCAATTTCCAACAATGGTTGGCCGACCATCGTTGGAAAAAACTGGCTTTCTTCAAATACTGCCCCCAATTTACCAAATTTAGTCAGTCCACATTTTGTTTGCAATCAGTTACACATCCGTGAACAAGTGCAAGCCAGCTAGTCTGGTTCCCTGACCTGACAGTTCCCCGACATCTATAAAGTGCTCCGTTTCTTCGGAAGTAGGGTCATGAAACCAGACTACAAGAACAACCTTTTTTGTCTTGGTTTTTCCAGCTCCTATGAACGCAAAACTTTAAACAAGTCAGTGTAACAATATTTGTCAACAAATATTCGTCAAAAAAACCCAAATCCATGCATGTCTGAAAATTACAGCAAAGCAAATGTTGTATACTATCTTTTGGGTAACAATGAGAGCACTTGTACAAGCTGCTTTTATTAATGTGCGGTACATGTATGACCTCAAGAATGGCTCTTACTTTTGGTATAGGTATTAGTTCAAATCACAGCTCTGAAGGCCAAATCCAATAACAAACTTTTTCATCTAGTTTTTCCTGGTTATCAGTCTAACCTACTTGTACTCCATGTGTTCTAGGTGCATCTTCTGAAGCTTGAGGCCAGCCTAGGCGAATGGAGCAATATTTACTATCGCAATCAGTCATTATGTGATACCCTGGGTGGCAACTCATGCCCCCTGCTGACCATTACTAGCAACCCGTCAACTCTGGACAAGGAAGGAGTGACTCAATTTAGTAAGTTATCAGTCCTATTTTGATGATTTATTTCTTGAATCTCCTATTCAACAGCAGAATTTATATAAACAATGCTTTCTACTAACTTTTTGACAAGAAATTTACATACTTGCGTCAGTTGTAATTAAAATGTTACGTCCCCTTTTTCCAGTGTTGTAGGACTCGAGTCCAGGACTCGGATTCGAGTCGGACTCAAGTCACATTTTTCATGACTCGGACTCGGCTCGAGTCACATTGGAAAATGACTTTGACTCGGACTCGACTATGATGACTCGGACTTGAGCTTGTGACTCGTGACTCGAGTCACGTATTTTCATCAAAAGAGTAAACATGTTACGTATTTGTGCGACGGACGTAGCATTCTTTTTACTCCATAGACAAACAAGGGGCTGCAGAAAATTGTATCCAGGGGCCACGCACGCACGTCTAATGCGTGCACGACGAGCACCGGAGTTTTTTAAACATGAGTATTTCATCCTGATGGAGCATATTAATTAAACTCTTGTGTATAATCAGTGAAAATGCCATGGAAATCCATTCATGCAAACCAGAGATCTAACATATTGTAAAAGGCTATGGGTTTTTCACCCATTCGAATGGGATTTACACAGTTAGTGATATCAGTCCATCAGATTGTCATGGGTCTTTTCACTCTGATGTAAATTAAGTTAACTGTGTAAATCCCATCCTATTGGAATGGGTGAAAAACCCATAGCCTTTTACAATCTGTTAGATCTTTAGTTTGCATGAACGGATTTCCATGGCATTTTTACTGAATATACACAAGGGTATAATTAATATTCTCCTTCAAGATGAAATACTCATGTTAAGTAGTTTTTGAGAAATTAAAGGATATCTGCTTGCACAACTTGTTTAGGACACCCTGTAGTTTGAAATACTATGACAAAGTTAAAAATGGTATAAAATGAAATAAAAAACAACCAACATCCGATTCAGGGCAATAGGCCAAAATACATTATAAGCTCAACTTCTTTCACCAGGATTGCGACCCTACATCCTGTTGTCCTCCCGTGTCCATCCTGGTGAGAGTAACAGCTCTTGGGTCATGAAGGGCGTCTTGAAGTACCTGCTGAGCTCACATCCCACCGCCCAGCTGCTCAGAGATACCTACATCTTCAAGATCATTCCCATGTTGAATCCGGATGGTGTTATCAACGGAAGGTGAGCTTGATTGCAACCATCGGCGTCGCCAGGAATTTGGGGGGGGGGGGGGCAAAGCACATTTTCTCCCCCCTGAAATCCCTGTACTTTTTCTTGATTTATCATTTTTCAAGGGTGGGCAGGGACGTTTGCCCTCCCACCCCCCCCCCCCCCCAACCCATTAAATTAACAGCAATATGACACTGCGCCTCTTTTTCTTTCTTTCTTTTTCCCCTTCTCCCTCCCCCCCCCCCCCCCTTGCTATGCCCATGATTACAACATTATGAATGTTATTAAATTTTATTCATAAATACCTAAGACAGTTTACCCATTCCTATTTGTTCATAGCCCGTCACGGTAGTGGTTGTAAATGGTTGATAAAACACCAACCGGTTTTAAACACTTTTTTTCTGGCACCCTTGCGTTCTGCACCACATCACGCATTATGCGCCACACACTTGGCAATTTCCATATAAGGAGATTTTTAGTACTGCATGTGCAAGGCACATACCATAACCACAGCTACAGGGTTAGGGTTTTGGTTATTACAAAAATGGGTTACCAGATAAAAATGTCATGTGGTGTTTGTTGCTTGTGATAAGTTCTTGCTTGATTTTTTCAGCTTAGCTGGTTAACTTGCTTAATTTTGAATTGTGTCTCCAAAACCATAGACGAATTTGAAATTCTCCGTAGGAATATCTTTATACTTCACATGATTTTTTTGGAAGTCCCAATACTTTCAGATTGTGTTGTTTTTACTTTAATTTTGTTTCTTTTCAGTCATCGTTGCTCTCTGACAGGAGAAGATCTCAATCGTCGATGGGACAGCCCAAACCCTGATCTCCACCCAACTATTTATCACACAAAAGGCCTTCTGCAATACCTTGCCATGTGCAGCAGAAGCCCTCTGGTTAGTACTTCTCGTCTTAACATCTTTACAACAACAACAAAAAGAATCAAAAATACAGTTTTTAAGAAACTAAAAAGGGATTTACATATTTTATTCCAAAGATTGAATTCTTTGATATAAATGTCTGAAAGCATTGGTTGGGCACATTTGTACTCTGTGAAAACCCTGGCAATTTCAATTGTTAAATAGTTTAAATATCTGCATGAGTCAGTAGATGATTGTGGGTTGCAGGTCTGCCTGAGAAAGTTTGGTCTTACCGAAACACTGGAAGAAGAAATTGTCGATATCTTAGCCACAACTTCTTGATCGTCATAGGTGTTTTGTGATTTCCACGGTCACTCCCGGAGGAAAAACGTCTTCATGTACGGCTGCAGTGAGGCCCAATCCCAACTGGCTGATGATGTGGCTGCCATTAATGGCAATAAGCAAGAGGACACCAGCTACAAGGTACAAATGTCATCGGGGGATTTCCCGTTTAAATTTCTTTTCAAAAAAGTGACTTGGTTAAGCTAATACATTATGTGTTCTGTACTATTTTATGTTGCTTGTATGTGTTGCTGTTGATATTGTCAACTTTTTTAGCTGCTGGATGGCAGCTCAACAAATCATCATGTCTCTCCGTTAGTGTGTTAGTTAGTTAGTAACAAACGTTGACATTGTCTATTGCTCCTACATGTTTTGACCGATTTCAACCAAACTTTATCCAAATTATCAGTAGCCCAGCCCCAACATGTCACCGTGACGAAACTGGGGTCAAAGGTCATCATGGGGTCACTGGGGACAAAAAGGTTTTTTTTACTCAAAACAAAACTCCTTCCAGAAATTACATGGCACAATCACGTGACTCATGCATGAACACGAATTCGTTGGCCTGCAGCTTCCGAGATATTTCCAATCGAGCTTGCTTGAAATGTGAGAGCTTCATTTTGACTTTGACGGGAACAAAGCCGTCCTATGGAATCCTACACAAGTGCTTCCTCAACGGCAGAAGTGACACGGAATGTAGACATTGAAGTACCCTTGACTGCCACTTTTGGCACACAGGTGTATCTCTTTCCCTAATTAGCATTTATGTGCTATTCACATGAGAGTTAGTTACACGTTAGTTTGCTATATGCGTGTGTATGCATGAGCTGGTGTGTGAAGACTAAAGTGCAAACCCGACCCGAAACTGAAACTAACCTGATCCGAAACCGACTTCGGTTTGATTCGGGTCAGGTTGTCCATCATTTCAGTCAGGTCGGGTTGGTTTTGGTTTTGCATTTGCGATTTTCGGGTAAGGTCGGGTTGGTTACAAAAAAATAAAATAAACTGAAATAAACCGGGAAAAAATAAAACAGTTTTGCAATTCACATGGTGCAGTATTTATTGCACAGTCACTGTGCCCGGTACGACTAACTGTGGTTTGCGGTCTATCACTCACAGTCTATAACATGTAGGCCCACCAGTAGGTCACATGGTGAGTACCGTACGGTATGATTTAGTTACTGAAAGACGATGATCACGCAACGCGGGTTAGTTCAGGCACAAAAAGCGGACACAGTTGCCCAAGCCAGATATTCACATTTTTCTTCCAGATGGGTTCCGTTTGGTTTACCTGGAATTTTTGTCAAGTCGGGTCAGGTCGGCTTAAGGAAGTTCAGATCGGTTTCGGTTCGGATTTTGTTTATATCTATAATGTTTCGGGTGGGTTTGGCCTGGTCAACCCGACCCCATGCACAACATTAGTGCAGACACACTGTCATTTACTGTCCTTTGTTAATATATTACACATTCCCTTCTATTGTTCCTGCACAGAGTTAGTTGGCTCCCTATGCCTTGCAGTAGACTGCTGACAGTCCTGAACATTTTTTATCTCATTTATTTCCCTCACAGACACTTCCTCGGATCTTGAACCAGTCTGCTCCAGCGTTCTCACTCAGCTCCTGCAGCTTTGTTGTTGAGAAGGCCAAGGAGGCCACAGCTAGGGTGGTAGTTTGGAAGGAACTAAGGGTGCCGCGTAGTTACACCATGGAGAGTACCTACTGTGGCTGTGACCAGGGACAGTACAAGGTGAGTAGGTGTGGATTATGCCCCTCCCCCTCCCCCTGTACACCATGGAGAATACATAATTTGAGTGAGGATCTTGGGTCAGGGACAGTACAAGATGTGAGTTCTTCTCCCCATCCCTCTGCCTGTATACCATAGAGAGTATGCACCGTTGACGTGACTAGGAACTGTATAATGTGTGTAAATTGTGCGTGATTTCCTGGCAATGCTAAGCACAATATTTTATGCCAACAGAGTCTATTTCACAGAAACCACAAGCAAAAACAAAACAAACGGCACATTATCATCACTGTAAAAAGGTGCGTAAGTTTGTGACGTTAACCATAGATGAATGCATGTTGTTGCAACCATAAGCACATCCACGCTGTCAAATAGTGCTTTTAAGTTAGAACAATTTTCTGCTGTAGACCTTTCTTTGCCAAACCTTGGAGGGCACTTTTGCCAACCAAAGGTTTTTTTGCAAATTATGGAAGGTCAACATGGCAATAAAGACTAGTTATTGATGTTTTGAACCATATCATTGGATTGCTGAGCATACAAAATAATCCAGAAAGGCAGCCAAAGACTTCATAAACATATCTCTTCCGACATAATGAGGGTGTTAATATGCAATTTTGGGCAAAATCCATTGCCAACCACGGTTTAATTTCAACCCGCTCACTGTTTACAAACAACAGAAAGGTCTATAGTAGGTAGAACTATTTTGCTCACTGTAAAGCAGTGCCTTGAAATTGGACCCCGCCCCCTCTCCCTGTATACCATGGAGAATATGCACTGTGTGAGTGACTTGAGGCAGTACAAGGTGAGTGTTAGAACTATGCCCAGAACCTCTCCCTGTGCTCCATGGAGAGAACAAACTGTTATGACCAGGGACAGTACCAGCACCGCCCCCTCTCCTGTTATATCATGGAGATTACTTTACATTCCCGCCATTATCCAGGGCTTCCAAATCACCACGGCCATGCTAGAAGAGATGGGCCAGAAGTTCTGTGAAGGGCTCCTTCGCCTCATTACACGGCGGTCCTCCGAAAGACTGTTGTCTGACAAATCACCCTCCCAGACTTCGCTTTCATCAACAAGGATCTTCCCTGGATCAGTGAATTTGGCAGTTACGAAGGATGAAGATGATTACGGAAGGTAAGGTTAAACTCTACCTTGTATGGCTGAGTCATTTATTATTGCCAATTAGTCAGACTTGTACTTGAGTCACCAAACATCGAGTCCCAGTCACCTCTCCTGAGTCCGAGTCCCGAGTGACAAAAGTCGAGTCCGAGTCACAAAGATCGAGTCCGAGTCACAAGTCACCTTTAATATATACATGTACTGGAAATAAATGTTGAGGTACTGCTAAAACCTCACAGTGTAAATGTTTCAATTTTTCACAGCTTTTCTCTAATTTATGACTGGAAATACATGCATACCATCTCAAATAAGGCAAGGCACAGGTTCTGGAAAGGGTAATCTGGCACCGAACACTATCACGTTTGCATTTACGCAATATCAAGATTGGACGCTGGGGTGCATATTTCTATACATTGATTTCCCAAATCAATATATCGGAAACAAGCAAGACGCACGCGTTGTGTATGTACAGTACGTAGATGCATTTCTTCTGCACCGCACAGACTGTATTACCTGCTCAGGTGAGGATCGTCTACAAAATAATTTGTAATTATATTGTTAAAAAAAATAAGTGATTTGTGGTAATTTTGGTCTCGAGTCACACAGGTCGAGTCTGAGTCCAAGTCTAAGTCCACAGGGTCGAGTCCGAGTCCGACTCCAAGTCATTTGTATAGTGACTCGAGTCCAAGTCCGAGTCAAGGAAAATGGGCCTCGAGTCTGAGTCACGAGTCATACAAGTCTGCAATTCGCTCTTTTCATACTTCCGCCATGGGCATACACAGCCTCAATATAGCCGCTTCAGTGATTCCCGTGTCGGGGTTCAGATCACTGAACCGGCTATTTTTATTGTGTAAAGTTGCCAGATCGAGGCTGTGCATGCTTAAGTGCAGAGTGTGAAAAGAGCAAATTAGGTATCCTAATAACACATGGACTATTATAATCAAATTGACATGGCAAGAAACTTGGTTCAAACCCCGTTAGCTCAATGTTTGGCTAGCATCCAGTTAGTACCAAGCACAGAAATTTGCCAAGCCCCCCCCCCCCCAGGTTACCAGCCAAGATTCCATATGATTTCCATTGCCTGTGACTGGTTGTCAGCTGGTTAATGTATAGCACATACATATCCTGAGCAGTTTTTAGAAGTATTGAACTTTTTAGAAGTATTGAAGTAATTTCTTTGTAAAGCGCATTGAGATTTCGTATGTAATGCGCTATATAAGAACTAATTATTATTATTATTATTAGTTTTTGCTGCATGGAATGTGGTTGTGGTCTCTGTTTTCAAATTTCAATATTTTTTCACAATATTTTTTCAATGTTTTTTGTGTGTGTCAGCCCCGGGGAAGACGTGGATGCCTTGCTTCAAGCCTCTGTCCGTCTCAAGGAACTGTCCGCCGGCCAGCAATGCACTAGGAGGAAACGTCCTAGCAATGACTTGGAATCGGGCGAAGATGAAGAGGATGACGAAGAGAATTATGTGTCGGAGGGAAGCGACAACGGAGCGTGCGAAAAGAACAGCGATGAGGGGACTGAAGACATTTCGCCAGAGGTCGGCGGGACGGAGCTGGGGGACTAGGGTTGCCTGTGAATGGGATAGTCGACAGTTGATATCAGGGTCCAGGTCCAACTCATCACTGCTCCCAAGGGCAATCTTAAGATGTTTAAATTTTAAAGTTCCTGAAATTGTCTGCTCATAAGAGTAAACTCCGAATCCAAAATTTGAAGGTTTTGAGTAGTATTGTTTATGAGTTACATTGTTTAAGGTTTTTTTAACTTTCGCTGTCCGTAACTTCTGTCTGTACCTCTAGTATTTAAAGTTGGACAGAGTGTTTATCTTAAACTATAGGTTTTGGAGTTTCCTCATATGACCACACAAGTTAAGAAATTTAAAGAAAATTTGTGAGATTGACCTCGAGAGGCACGATGATTTGACATGCAAAGATTCCAATGGAGCCTGAATTCTTCTTCCCACCGATTTGCACTATCCGCTCCGTTCACAAGTACCCCCTCACCAGCAAGGAAAGTACAGTTGGGGGTGACTGAACGACGCCATCTTGCCTGACTACAATATTTTGCCGCGAAGCGCGGCCACAGCGTGTACAAAGTATAAATCCCCTGGTTTACGTGCGTCACACACAAGGAACGGTGCGCGCGTCAACCTGCGAAATGTATGTGTCCCGCCCATGGGACGTCATTGCTAGGTAAATGGGCGCCCTCTTTTGTTGGCGCACGGAGCCCATAGGAACAAAAGTGAGGTTGCCTTACAAAGCTAGGACCCTCATGGAGTTAGTGTGATGGTAACTGAGCGGTTCACAGAAGAGCTCATTCAGCTCGTTCAAGTGGGCCAGAGCTTTTCATTGCAGCCTCTTTTACTACCAACCCATTTGCATTGTTTGCCACTCTTGTCTGTAAAATGTATTCAAAGGCACTTAGCAACATTTGCAACTACCCGTTCGTACCGATTTAACAAAAAAATCTTTGCTCAAAGTGAAGATAGGAGTGGTACCAAATACCCTGTGAAATTATTCCACCTGAAATGGTATCATTCGGAAGAAAATAGTCATTGAAGGTGATTTAAGAAAGTGTGTAGTGTAATTTGCTGAACAAAACTAGGAGCCACTTCAGCAGTGGTGCCATGCCTGCACGCGTGCCACATGCCGCATGCGTTCTTTAAGAGGTTGTGGAATGCTCGAAGACATTTCCGTCATTTTGGGGGTATATGTAGCCTAAGGTGTGATGAAATAAAAACGACTATTGTTTCTGTCATGAAATGAGTACAAAGGGTACTTTTGAGAGCTATTTTTCAGGTCCTGTTTCGACCCGAACGTGCAATTTGTGTAAAAGTCGTCGTTGCGGGCAGCAAACAAAACACAGTAAATCGTGACGTAATAAACAGGACTCGTTTATGCTACTCTGCATCAGGAGTCCTGTTTATTACGTCACGATTTACTGTGTTTTGTTTGCTGCCCGCAACGATGACTTTTACACAATTGCACGTTCGGGTCGAAACAGGCATGACAGGACTTGAAAAACAGCTGTCAAAAGTACCTTTTGTACTCATTTATGACAGAAACAATAGTCGTTTTTATTTCATCACACCTTAGGCTACATATACCCCAAAAATGACGGAAATGTCTTCGAGCATTCCACAACCTCTTTAAAGACAAGGTGAGCGCACATTATTGGTACCCGATTGGTCGAAGGAGCCCAAAGTGCGTGCGTAGTACCTGAGCGCGACTCACGTGAGCCTGTTGCCACTGCAGAAAATGGCTGTCGCTGGATTAGAGCTGAAACTTTAACAAGTCGATTGTTGTATACACTACTTAAGATTTTGAGCAAATGTGTTGCTTCAAACGGGAAAAAAATGCACAAAAAGCAAATGATGCTGTGTAGCTTTACTGCCGGCCGACCACATACTTATAAATCTGCGCTGGTTTTGTATATTCTCAAGCATGCTGAGAACATGGCAGCCAGCTGGCTAGAATGAGCATTTGCCATGAGTTAGTCCAATCCATCTTGTCCAGAATTTGAAAGAGGAATGTTTAAGCTGGCCACTCTTTCTTATAATACAACCTGAATTGTTTGTACTCTCTCGCCCCATTGCAGTTTGTTAGCTCATCATGCAGAGTTGATTGTGGGGCGTTTTTTGTCCGAAGTGCCTTGCTGCTCAACTTTATAGACTGTGTAATGTGCCCTTTTGATTTTAACTCTGTATCATATAGTGAGACTGATTTAGAATGTAATGCCAGTAAAACTCTAAACACCCTCAAATCCTCCAAAATCAACCATTGGCTTCCTTATAATTATGAATAATGACGGATTTAATTCTGTAAGACCCAGACGCTAATATTTTGGGTAGGAAAATTTGTTTTATAAAGGTATTTTAAAGATTCTGTCATTGGTATAACTGCACTAGTGTATTTGATCTCAGCAGATGTAGGAAGACTTCATGCATACTCTACATGTGTGTGCGGTTGGTTAATACTGAAGGACAAGATCATAGTTAAGGAATGCTATGATGTTGATCTCAAGGGTTGGAAGTTTGGTGCATTTCTCTAAATGTTACGTCATCAGGACACAATAATCTACTTGAATTGACATCTTTTTGTTTTAATTTAGTGAACCATTTCGTAGTGATGCTAACAGACACCATTGCCCTAAAGCAAAAATCGATCTGACAACCAGCCGTTAATGACAACGAACATCACATTTTGTGTAGTAACATCTTATTTCGTCTTAGAACTTTGAGCTCTGGTTTCGTTCTTGGTCAAATCAGTGATGCCATCGTCATAGGGATCAGATTGGGTGGAAGTAAGTAAAGTCTGTCACGAGCCAATGTGGCCGTTCAGGCCGGCATTTATCTCCAGTTTCAGTAGCATGAAACGACTGAGGATATTTGTATTCCCCCTGGATGGGATGCTAGTCCATCGCTGGTTACTTCCAAGTTAATGCTGGTACCGAAATTGTATACTCCTGGGTGGAGAGAGGTGAGTGGAGATGGAGTGGCTTGCCCAAGGACACAACATAGGTCAGCGGCTGGATTCGAACCCATGACCCTCTGATCATGAGTCACGAACCCTAACCACTAGGCCACACGCCCCACAATTGGCTGGGAAAAAAAAGTATCCTAAATATCACTTTCATTAGTCAATAGTAAAAAAAAATCAAGTTTCTAAAAATGTGTGTAAATTATAAAAAGCTGAAATGGCAAGCTAAAATTGATGTATGCATACAACGTAGTATTTAATTTTGACTGAAATTTTCCAAACCTTTTCGTGAATCTTTTTTTGTGTTTGTGATTTCACCTTGCCTTTGAGTGTCCAGACAAAAAAAGAGAGGAAATTACGATGAAAATAAATACGACCCACAACTCTAACGAAGTCTGACAAACGGTAATCAGAGACGGAAGATCCTCCGTTTGTCTCCGGTTGGCGAGCTCTCCAATCGGATTACATCGGAAACCTACAACGGATCTGGGCCAGGATCAGGCGAAAAGAAAAGCCTCTCTACCCAATCAGAATGGGAAATAGAAGAACATCCGTTTGCTGATCACTTGATTGGGACTAGTGCAGGAAAGCGGGGTTGGAATGTTGGAATGTTGGAAAGGGTTTAGGATTGATTGAAACTAATGTCTTTGGATTTGTGTTTTTATTTTTTTTACTTGAATGTGTGTGATTTAATCTGGAATTGGATCGTTATGTATGGTGGGCTACATTTCTTTGGATGTACTAACCTTTAAATGTGTTTGTCTGTATATATGAAGTCTTGATGTGACAAGTAATAGCCATCTTCAAACATGCCACCTGCAAGGCATTTGGTGAACATGTGTTGTTTCTAGCAGGAACATCGCACAAGTATTAAGATTTTTTTTTTTAAGTGAACCATTCAGAGCGTCTTTATGGTGATTTGGGCATGGTCCCTGGCTGTATGGCATATACGGGTTTGTGGCTTCTGACTAGCGCCCCTTAAACAAAGACATTGACTAATTGGGGAGCTGCCAACATAGGGCTGGATAGCTCAGTTGGTAGAGCACCGGAACGGCAATCCAGAAGTTGCAGGTTCAAACCCCGCTCTAGTCAATTTCTTTGTTCAACTTTTCAAAAAAAAAAGTATTAAGAAGCAATGTTTGTATATAGCCAAGATTTTAGTTTAAAATATAAAAATTCAGGGTTAGATTTTAAGTGCTAAGTATTCCTTCATTGTAAATATAGTTTATTTTCATGTCATTTACTAGACTCGTCTGGTGAAATTAAATGTCAGTATTTTTTCCTGTATTGATCAAGTACTGTAGCAACGTATGAAATTCCACGCGGCAGCCATTGGTGTCTTGTTCCTAATGCCTGTGTGTAAGAGATATGTGAGATATTTTGTATTCTTAAGCTGGCATCAGACTAGATTTTTAGCAATAATTCCTTGCACTGGTTTGGAAAAGTATGGTTTTAGAGCTGATGACCATGATACCTGGCCTAAATGTACAAATTGAAATGAAAATGACACAAATGTTTTATATTGCTTAACCCAAGCAACAAAGTCGAGTTGGAAGTCTAAAACCTTTGTCCATTTCCACTGCTCCATTTGAAAAAGATAAGAACAAGCTATACATTAATGTCATTGCACAGTTGTAAAACAAAAGTGAACAGTCCAAACGCTGTATTTATTTTATGGAATGTAAATACTCTTTTGAGGGATTGGTTGGACGTACACGTATGTTAAGTTGGTCTGTGCTTTCTGATGGTGCCATAACAAAAGGCGTTTTCAAACCTCAATTTTGCTACAAATGAGGGGTAATGTCGTCAACTTGAAAACACGTTGGACGACTTTTTATCTGACTAAGCGTTTAATGACAAGTTATTTTTTCATATATGTCTTGTTGCCTGTAAATAGTAATTCCAGATTTGAAATGAGTCCATGGCAATAAAAAAAAATATACTAATTATTTTCCGGGAAATTCTCACAATGTGTGGTCTGTAACAAACTAATTAATTGTCTTGAAAAATGCGTAAACGTACAGTTGGGAGAATATGCCTACGAATATTGTTTGAAGTGATGTAAACAATTTCCTGAGTGAGCAAAGTGATCTTGCTGCAGAGGAGACTTCATATTTATTATGTGGGAGTCGCGAGGACCGTGGGGAAGTTGGAAAAAGAAAATGAAAGAAGTTCTATAGAAACTACTGGAAATGTGTATATATGTATGTACACGGCTAATTCACGTACATAAACACAATTTTTGGAACACCCTTCCCATCATAAAAAAACTCAACTTCTTGTATATATTCATGGGTGGTGAATAATGGAGGAGCCTGTGAGTCTCTGCCCACTTCAGGGCGAACCTAAGGGGTGGGAGTGGGATGGCCAATCAGCCAATTTCCAATATTAAGTACCTCGAATCAGCGGCGTAGCCAGGGTTCTTACCAGAGGAGGACGAGTGTGGGGGAGGGGTTGGCCAAATTTCTGTTAAACCCGTTAACCATGGTCACTTTTACAAAAAAACATCGTCGTCCCCCCCCCCCCCCCCACCCGCTGGAAATTTGTTAAGTTATAAAAAAAATATCGTCGTCGCCCCCCCCCCCCCCACCTGCTAATTAGTCCTAATAAGGTATAGAACTTAACAAATTTCCAGTGCGGGGTGGGGGAGGGGCGCCTTTTTTTTTATAGGGGACGTATGTTCACCCCTCCCCACGCCCCCCTTGGCTTAACCGCTGCCGCTTTTTCATGGAGTAACTACGTGATCACTCAATATTGCAAATCTTGATTCACTGCATGCTTCAGGCCGTTGATCTTTTTATGCCTCATCCCCCCCCCCCCCACCTTACAATCCTGGACTGCACCATTGTGATAAAGCACACATCATCGATTAGCATCGACAAGAGGCACTTTCAAACACAGAAGTCTGCCCACTATTGGCATACATTTGCCGAGAATAACAAAACATACGTGTGTGGAGGGGGGGGGGGCAACCCCCTCCCCCCCCCCCCCCACCAGCTGTGACTCAAACTTTTTTTTTTTTGCATATAAATACA